CAATGTTTTGGTTGGTAGACCATGTCAAAGTAACATTTACGTAATATTAGGACCCAAAGTGTCCCAACAGAGTGAGATATACTCCGATTTATATTTTCTTCCATGTGTCCGACTACACCGATGAATGATATGTAGTGATGGGTTGCTATGTGAAGGTGCACTAAATGAGACTTATCATAGGATTTACAAAAAACGATCACATTATTTGCTGTTTACATATTGTATGTAATGTTTACAGTAATGAGAACTTACCAGATAACATCAGTCTGTAACTAAATATTAAAATTATGAAAAACATTAATTGCAGCATCCTATGTTGTAAACTAAATCCAGCAGAGATTCTGGTAGCATCAAAAACAGCTTAAACTAAGTATCAAATTAAGTATTGTTTGTAATGTTCTCAGTTTGGCAGATTTACTATTGAAATCCTTCGACAGGTGGAGCTACTACGGTACTGTTCCCTACTGAGTGGCACACTCCTTTGTGTGGTCAGTTAAAATATTGCTTCACTTTTCGGGAAAAGTCTGATTTAAGATGGCATCAATAAAACCATCTGGATATCAGATCCTGCAGTGTTTTGTCAGTTATTTTGTTGGATCCAAAAGTCACACAAGCATTTAAATCCCAGCAGCATGAGTATATTTTTATATATTTTTACATGAGTAATGCTCCTTACATAATCTTCCTAAATTTTCTGTTTTTGTTTCTGGCTCACTTTTGATTTCGGGGTATCATGTTATGTTTTTTTTTTTTTTGCTTGTATTACATTTGTCTCACCCCTGTTTTCTTTTTTGTGACCCCTCCAGAGGTGACAGTGGTGTATCAGAACGGGTTGCCGGTGATCTCAGTCAGTTTGCCATCCAGGCGAGAGCGCTGTCAATTCACCCTAAAGCCTCTCAGTGACTGTGTGGGAGTTTTCCTGCAACAGCTCCAGGCAGAGGACAGAGGCATCGACCGGGTAGCCATCTACTCCATGGGTACGCTCACCAACACAAGAATATGCACTGTATCTGTTTGCCCTCAGAGCATTACACCTATACACGTCCCTACATGCTTTCAAGTGTTCTGTTCAAGTGTATTTTAAGGCTGTTAGGTGTTGAAGAGTTGGCTTTTTGCCAGAATTTAATATCACTGCATTCATCGTGAAATGATTTTTCAGGCCATGCTCTGCTCAAGGTTCATTATACAGGCACAACTTGTACTGAAAATCTTACTCTTCATGTGTAAGTGCTCTTGCTTTCACCTCTCACACTAATAACACTCCGGCAAGCCTGATTAAAGAGAGGTGAACTGTGTTGGAAGTGGGTACCCATCAGCGTTCCATCCTTCTTAATGCCTTCCTTCCCATTTGTCTTCCTCTCCAGATGGAGCAAGGGTTGCCTCCTCCACAGGTATAGACATCCTGCTGCTGGATGATTTTAAGCTCGTCATTAATGACACCACACACCTCGTGCGGCCACCAAGGAGAGGTGAGAACTGGCAATAAAAAAATGGCTGAGCCTGTGCTGTTTGCTCTGAGTCATTCCCTCACAGGGTCATAACCACTAAGAGGCAGTCATGGTTTTTATTTCCAGCATGCGGGTTGTATTAAAGTGAGTCTTGGCGATAAAACAATAGCGATGGGAACCAGCGGCAGGCACTTCATCCATAGCAATAAGGAGAGATTTGAAAGAATGTTTGATGGTTTCACTTAAATGCATTAGATGCAAACCGTCATTAAAGCTCTTAAAGAAAACATAAAGTTTGGTTTTATGAATGAACCTCAATAGTGCTTCTTCACTGGCTCCTACACAGCATGTCATACCTTGATAGTGGAGCCCATTTGCCCTTCACCATAGCTTTCATGCAGGTCTCTCGAGGTGCGCCAGTCTGCAGCCTCCTGGGCCTCTCCTCACCCTGGTTCATGCCTGCAGACTTTCCCTAGTGAAAGCTTTGGCTGGTTGCCCTTGCGAGACGGGCTTCACGGTCTAAAAACACCCCTGACTCTGTATCCCCCACCACATCCGCCAAAGTAATGCACTCCCAGTGGTCTGCTTAGAGGACTGACAGACTAGGGTTGGGTTGATGTGGACGTTTTGTCCTGGTCACCCTCGGTAGACTTGCTTTCTTTGTTTAAGGTGTATCAAGATTAAACAATTCCTTTATAATTGCTATTTTTTTTTAAATTTATGGGTAAGTGTATTTATAGGTGTGTGCGTTCATCAATAATATTATTATCTGTGTACCTTGATAAATGGGCTGAAGGGCTTAATTTAGAGTATGATGATTAAATTAAAATGAAATCTTTTTTTTCTCCTGTTTTTTTTTTTTTTTAAACTAGAATAAAAATGTGTCAATATAAACTGAAATAACCCAATTCATTGTGATTTTATTTTCAGCTGTATTATTCATTTGTGTGTCTTTCAGAGATGCTGCCCCATGAGGAGGCAGAGAGGTTGAATGATGTCAAGTTCCTGGTGCAGCAGCTCTACACCACGCTGCGCATCGAGGAGCACCAACTCAGCAAAGAACGTGAGCTGATTGGACGACTGGAGGACCTCAACTCTCAACTCCGCCCCCTAGAGAAGGTTTACTTCCCTTTTGACAATACTGAAAATTTTTGTTTTTTGCTTTTCGCAAGACCCTCAAATTGCCAAAAGTTTTTGGTTTTTTTTTTACTTAGTAAAACCAATGTGTTCTTGCAGTCAAATTATGCCCTTTCACATTTTTCCATGCAGGACAAGACCAGCTGTAGATGCTCAGAATATTTCAGCCCTGTCTGTATTTCTCCTATTTTATTGTGTCACTAGTGTAAAATATCAGGCATTTTTATTTAGCCTATAAAAAAAATTGCTGCACAGTTGAGCCATCCTGGATATGACTAAGTGGCTATCAAACCTTTGTTATCCCTGTAATGAGACAAAACGGTTTATCTTGTGATAATTAAGTCATAATCTGCAGACAGGAACAGTTGCATAATATTTTTGTGTGGAAAATCCATAATGTGATTTTTATTTTTTTTTCCTTGTTTTTTCGCTAGATTATTCTTAAATGATACCTTCTGGTGTTCTGCTTGTGAAGACAATGTCTGAGTGCTTTCTTTATACCTTCTGTACAGGTGAGGGAGGAGTTGAGTCGGAAGGCAGAGCGACGCACCACCCTGGTGCTGTGGGCTGGCATGGCCTACATGGCCACCCAGTTTGGCATCCTGGCCAGGCTGACCTGGTGGGAGTACTCCTGGGATATCATGGAGCCTGTCACCTACTTTATCACTTATGGCACTGCAATGGCCATGTATGCCTACTTTGTTCTTACACGTCAGGTAAGACAAACGCTACAGATATACTACAAATGTATATGTGCGTATAGTCACGTGTGAAGTCAAGTTTGAGGGTAAAAAGCATCTTCCGCTGCTGTTTTGGTCGCTTGATCGCCAAAAAGCTGATCAACATTAACTGTGATATTCAGTTAAGCCACCTATTGAAGAAAAAAAAAAGCTAACTCTGATTGGAGCTTCTCAAATGTGAGGATTCACAACTTTTCCCTGCAAACTCCCGGTGGGAGAAAATAAGTTACCTTGGACTCAATGAATCTGTGAACACACTGGTTTGTGTTGTCGGCACTTTTTTTTTAATGCCAAATAATGTGTGATACATTAGTCAAGGAAAGTGTTGTCCAAAATTATTCAGAAACTCTTTTAACAACCAGACAACAAAGCAAGACAGTAATGGGAAGTCATGGTATTTTCAAGGTTTCAAAAGTATGATCTTCTAACATTGTTGCCCTTCAGAATTGAATTCAGCGCTCATAAATTACCACAAATTTCCGACTCCAAGGACATGGAGTCCATTTGATGTGGAATTTTCTCAGCTGTGTGATTTGGCCCCAGGACTGGAAAGCAGAACATGGAGGATATCTGATAAACTGGTTCCTCTTTCAAAGTGCTCTATCTGTGTCTCCCCATAACCTGCAGGAGTATGTTTATCCCGACGCTAGAGACAGGCAGTATCTGCTGTTCTTCCACAAGGGGGTGAAAAGGACACGCTTCGACATTGAGAAGTACAACAAGCTGAAGGATGATATTGCTGAGGTACAGTTGCTTGGTGAAAGCTGGCTGTTTTGTGATGTAAAATGAGAACTGCAGCCAGGCACAGGGGATTCACAATTTTTTTTTTTTTTTCAGTTCAATACTTGGATTTGTAACAGCTGCACCATTCCACACATACTTTCGTCTCATGTTTTCCATCCAACGTTCCCTCCCTCCCCTTTCTCCCTCTCTCTCTCCCTGTCCACCCTCTCCAGGTGGAGTTGGATCTGAAGCGTCTACGGGACCCACTCCAGCTCCAGCTCCCAGTTCAGCAACTCACCGCCAGTAAAAATTGATGGGTAGAGTGACTCCCTCCTCCGTCAGCTCCTGCAACCCCCTTTCCCCTTTTCCCTCCTGCTGTCCGACACCCCTCTCTCTCTCCTTTTACCCCCCCGACTTTCCTCAGACTCCGCCCTCCTCCTCTCCCTCCCACTCCCAATAATCCCATCCCTTTATTGACTGTGGGAGTTAGTTTTTTCTCCTTTTTTTGTTTCTGTTTTTGTTTTTATTTTCCTGACTGAAATCTCCAGTTGGAATTGCAAGTGAAAACCGGCTAAAAGATGACAAAAAAGAAAAAAAAAAACAAGGATGGTGAGAAACCTGGGAACTGAAAAACCTCTCACAGCCGAAGGATGTTGAGGACGATGAAAAAGGAAGATGATGATGAGTTGAAATGGGCACCGTGGACGTGCCTCAAATCTTCAGAGGGACAGCCTGCAGGTAACTCCAGGGGTGAAATGATCCCACCTCTAGACACTCCAGGACAGGGAACACGCAGAGGGGCAGCCATTGTTGAGTGTGCATGTGTGCGGGACTTTTAGGCTACACTGGGACACCGACCCTGGCCACTCTGCAGGTCGACACAGCGCTGTAGCCCCGCTTCCTCTAGCAGCCGAACTGTCAACACACACACACCTTCTCTTGGTCGGTGCAGGCTCCGGGGGACAAGTTTACAAGGAAGTTCTGACTGCAGTCGCACCTTCAGGGAGACCTTCGTTTTCCTGTGGCTGAATTCTGCTGCCTCTCCCTCTCTGAGCCACGCCTCCTCCAGGTGACAGACAGCTGTCCTTCCCAGTGTGACCTTTGTCAGGAGCCCATCTCCACTCACAGGATGCAGGAATGACGACGCCTCATTTCCTCGTCCTGTTGATGTCCTGTAGCTGCCCGGCCTGCGCAAGTATGAAAGTACTACCGACAACAACATCACTGTGTGTTCTTTTATTCCAAAAAAAATATTTTGGCACTTTTTATTTTGAAAGCCATAGTATATTTGTTATGAAAAAATATAAATATATATGTATACAATCAAATAAACCGATGACCAGAGGCTAGTTTCTTTCAGTGGGGGGAGGAGCTCTCTTACAAACGTCATTTCTCGAGAAACTCATTTACATCCTCTGCAGATCTCCTGCCATAAAAAACCGCCCGCTGCACACACTTTCTCGCAAAGAGCAGTACTCTGTATGCATTTAATACCTTGAAGTCTTCGTGACAAATGCACACAATATATTTAACAGTAACTACGCTCCGATTGGATGTAAGGCTCCTGTGCATGGCCACCAAAGCCGGGGGATGGGGGGGAGACGGAAACAATGTTGAAACTAAATCAGGGTGAAAATGGCTTTGATTGGAACTGACTGCTTTTGAGCATCACAGAATATCAACGCGAATAACGCTGGCTTGACCTCTATAATCATCTCACGAATGCGAAGATTGCTGCAGAAACATAATGACAGGGTTCAAATATTTAGTGACCATTGCCTCAGACAAAGCCACAGGCATGTTATATATTTGATCAGCTGAATGACTTTTTAAATAACGGACCAGAGCGTTAGCAAATTGCCTGCAGCTCAGTATCGCTTTTCTGAATATCATGTTTTTTTTACCTTTCCAACTGAGGTTTCCAAGTGAAAACGGTATTAATAAGTCAAAGGCTACATCTAACAAAAAAAAAAAAAGGTGTCATGGCATTGAGGTCGTAGAGGTTTTTTTTCATCCTGAAATTAAGCCAGAGTTTTCTCCTCCCACTGCTGCTGTAACGCCCCTTCCCCCCTGCTCCCTCGATGGCAAGGCAGGGTAGACTGCATGCTGTGGTATGCCCTCAGTAGAAATTTGTGAATGTGTAGGAGCATTATTGCAATTTTGTACTTAAATTGGACACTTTTCTTTGCCACATCTAGCTGAAGTCTCATCCACATCGAGCTCAAGTCTCACCTCCTCCTCCTCCTCTTTAAATCAAATGTTATAGAAGCCATATATTTGTGTTCTTTTTCATCTTTTTTGTTGTTGTTGTTTTTTTTTAAAAATTGTTTTTGGGATGGTCACCAAATAAACCTTTATCAGCTTTACATAGTTTTCTGTTCAGGGTGAGGATTGGCGGCCCTCTCTCCGGTCCCATTTATCTCTCTGAAGAAGTTCTCGAAATCCAGTTTTTTTCGCTCTGAACTGCTGTAGATCACCTCTGCAGAGGGGAAGCACAATGACATTGACGTCCCCCGCGCACACAGTAGACTCCAGTTCATCATGTGCTCGTGTGCGAACAGCTGGCTGAATCCTGCTGAGGAGATCATTGTGTTTAACTGCAGATTTTATATTAAAATGCATGATTTTCGAACAAATCAAAAGTTAGCCATGCAGATCTCGAGTCAGGATTTGGTTTAAATCTGTTAGTGTGTGTGTGTGTTGTCCTGTGTGCACGTGTGTGTGTGCGCGTGTGTGTGTGTGTGTTATCTCCAAGGAAAATGGTGCCTTTTGGATCATTATTGATTAACTCTATAGACAATGTAGCAAATTTGGTAACGATGAGAGGTGATTAGAAGAGACGGTTGGCCTTGTTTGGAACAAGGCCATCATATGAAGGATGGTTAAATTTGAATGTTTAGAAGTGGAAATCAATTTTACTGTGTGCCATGAATGTTTGTTGAATCTGTGTGCTGGGGGGGCAAAGTGCAGATCATCGTATTCATGAATCCTTTGCTAATAATTGTTGTTCGTCATAGGTGCAACAATCAGTTCTGCCCTCATCCCGCCTCATAGCCGTCATTCAGCTTTAAATTCAGTTTTTCTGAATAGACCAGTTCACACACACACACACACGCACACACACGAAGAGAAAACGGTGTTTCCTTGGAGATGTACTGTGGAAGGTGATCGAGTTCAGGCCTCTGTTTGCAGTCCAGTCCTCCCCTCTGCTGTTTCTACACTTCTCTCCATCATCACCTCTTTCATTCTGTCACACCATCCACCGTTTATTGCCTTTGGGTTTGTTTTTGTTTTTGTTTTCTTCTTGTTTATTTTTTAAAAACAAAAATATATCAAATATAGGGAAACTTTATTCTAAAAAGAGGGTGTTGCATGAATGTATGTTTACATGGGAAATTATGTAAAAATAAAAAAAAATAAAAATAAAAAGATTTATCAAAAATAACTGCAAAGATAATTTAAGAACGTTGTTTGTAGAGATTCCTAGTTATAAAGGGCAGTGGACAGGGCTGCGTCTTTAGAATCTGCCCTGCCAAATCTGATTTAAATCCCAGCCAACCAAATGCTCAAACCTCGCTCCCATCTTCACCTTATTTACTCCCATAATCCTCTCCCTTAGCGTCCATTCATACTCCCCAATAAATGGAAAAACACCCTCCATCCACAGTGCACCTATAAAAGAGGCTTTACAACCTCGTGTCCTGGATTTGAGTCCAGGGGAAAAGTGTCAGGTGCACTCTTTTAGCATATCGGGGAACACCTCCAGTTCTTGTCCCCCCCCCCCTCTCTTGTCTTTTTCCATCGACCCTCAGCCTTTTTTCTCCAAAGACGCATTATTATTATTATTCTATATTTTGAATGTGTGTTTAAGTTTTGAATATCTTCTTTGCGTGCACTTAAAATACGACATGTTTCAAATGCCTAAAGAGTGAAGCAGAACATAGGATTGAACTGATCTCGTACTTCATTCTGACCTCTTGTTTTGTTTTTCTTGTCTTTTTTTTTTCTTCTTCTTTTCTTTTCTTCTGTTGACATATGATGCTGTAATGTTGGCAAAAAAAAAAGAAAAATGTAAAATCCTGTATCATTTATGAAATATGTATAAAAGAGAAATGTAATTCAATTATCAATAAAATCCTTATCCAGTTTTTGGAGCCGGTGGTGCGGTTGAAGTTTTTTTTTTTTTTTGCTGTTTGCTCTGCTGGTGAAAGCGACGTGATTTATGTGTCACACTGCAGATGTTTACAAGGAGCAGCTTTTCAAGGTCTCGACCTCCTGCGACTCTCCTTGGCCTCCAGTTCTTCCTGTACAGGACATCCTATGAGATAGAGCGATGAATCATTACGTGGCGATAGTCTGTTGAGACTAAATGTAAGTTTAAAACTATGTTTAACTGTTTAAGTAACCTGGAAAAAAAAGCTTATCAGTGGCTCTGTGGTTATACTAGAACACAGCGGTGCGAAATGTCAGTGCTAACAAGTGCATGTTGAAGAGGCATAATCTTTGTCATATGTACCTTTTTTTTTTTTTTTTTTTAATCACATCCAACTTCTTGTTAATTTGCAAAGAATGCCGAGGCAGAACGGGATGTCTTTAATCCTGCAAAATCCCAGAAATTTCAACCTGATGAGAAATGAAAAGTAAAGGGGGTCACTAGTGTTATGGCAACTGATCCTCAGAGAAAAGTCAATGTGTGTTCTAAATTTCATTACACCTCCATTCAGGAGTTGTTGAGTCATTTCATTAAGGTCCAAAAGGTCAACGGCAGCCGCAGGATCAAAAATGTGATTAGGTTTCAATGTCAAGGGGCCATGAATGTCTGAACATAATCCATCCAATTGTTGGTGTATTACAGTCTGGAGCTGCTGGTGGATCAGCATTGCCATCTCTATGACATTATTGTGTTAAAAAAACAAACCTGCCAATATCTTTTAACATATTGCAAAACATTATACAACAATCAAGTAAATAAGAGCACAAGTGTCAACCTATGTAAAATCCATCCATCCATCATCTATTCACCGCTTAATCCTCACTAGGGTCGCGGGGGGGCTGGAGCCTAACCCAGCTGACTTAGGGTGAAGGCAGGGGACACCCTGGACAGGTCACCAGTCTATCACAGGGCTCCTATGTAAAGTTGTAAATATAAGTTGATTGTGTACTTAAAATTCAAACTTTGAAAACTAAACCAGAAAGGAATTAAACGGAAAATGGAGATAATAAAGATACATAATAAGCACTATAAGGTTATGCAGCAGTATAATGAAGTGCTAATTCAGATTGCCTGAGGTGTACAGACTCACAACCAGGAGGGCTAACAATGTCTTATTTCCAAATGTAATCACAACTGTTCTGACTCTTTACTGCTGAATACCTTGTGGATGAATGTCTCTAATGTTTTAATTACAAATAGAAAACAAAAATTACAAGATTCTGGTTCATCCCTGTAGCTTTTAATTATAAAGGGGTCAAGCTTAAGACATCTTCTGTCCTGTTCTGGTGAACTAATGAGGCGCAGTAGATGAGGACACATTCTCTCTGCTGGCACAGTGTGTCCTCACCAAGGGTCTCCTCCACACTAAATCCTGAGAGTGCAATCCCTGCTCCCTCTCCTTGAAGGGAAAGATGCTTCAGCACGACACAAAGCAGATTAAGCAGATTGGCTAACGCTGCTCGAGATTAGATCACTGCTCATATTTCCACATGCTTTAAATCAAGACGTATGGGAAAGAAAAGATAAACTTATTAAAGCATCATAAGCCACAGTCACACTTTTTCTTAATAAGAAAAAAAAAGCTGTGCAAGGTATTTTTAAAGGCACGTGTGTGGGGATGGAGGGAGGAGAGTAAGAAGACCTGACTATCTGAAACAATGGGAGGATGGTCGCGTCACTGAGCAGGTTCAAGGTGACAAAGGGACATGATAATGTGACACAGATAACAGGCGCCTATTAAAAACAGACCTCCCTTAAGGATGAACCAGAGAAGTGACACACATATACACACTCGAGTTTGAGATCGGTTTAATCTTTCATCCAGAACACATGATGATTTTTTTGGTAATTACCAATCTGCTGCAGCAAGCTCAGGCGGTCGCAGTTGTAGGTGAGTAGAGAATTTATAATGTTTACATGCAAAACAGATGAAGAGTTCATTTGAAAAAACAGATAGCTCCATCTTCACAATCCTTCAAAAAAATCCCTCTTTCCATCATTTACCTGAGACAATATCAGTCAAACTTAAGTAATATCTGTTTTTTCATGTCATTTCTACTGAGTCAAATGCACTCAACTTCAGTTTGATTGATGTTATCTCAAGCAAACAATGAAAAAAAAAACATTTTCTGAAAATCTACAAAAATTGAGTTATCTGTTTTTGCAAATGAACTCTCAGGTGAAGATACGGAGTTTGTGTTTTGCTCTGTTTTTGTTTCTACTTTAGATTTAATGCTAAGGCTGCCAACAAATCTATGCAAAGACCAATAACAACACTGTTTTAGTCCATCTCCCACTATTTTAGACTTCCCTACCCTATTTTGCTGCACTCACTCCATGTCTATTTATTTCTACGGAAAATGTCAGTCCTTAAAAATGGGTCACAAATATATTTCCATAAATAAAAAGCTTAATCATCTGTCAGCACATGTTACTCAAACCAGGGTAAAAAATTGCATTTCTAGGGAACTATTTTCAGCAGTGGATCATTTGCTGAGTGTGTAGCAGTAGATGTGGGATTGACCCAAAACAAGCTACAGAATGAAAAAAACATGTCACCCAGTGGAACTGAGGGGCTCAGTGATGGGTTTTGGACAATACAGGAAGGTCTGAGGCACAGAGCAGTAAAATACGTCAGGTGTTGGCCATACAAGGAGTGCAGGTGTTAGTAGGAATAGGTCACTGTTGGTGTTTTTTTATGTTTTTTTTTCCACAGGATTTGTTGATGATACGAAAATACAATATCAGACTCAGGTCAGGCGTGGCTCCATGATCCCTTAATAGCCACATTAAGTTATTCACGCCCCATCTGGAAGATTTAACGCTCCCATTAGCATACACCCACATGAGTCAGCTATGTCCTCTGCCCCTTCTGTGCTGCTGGAGCTGCAGCACAGTTGGTCAGTCGTACATCTCTAAAAATGGTCGTTAATTCTGTCGGGCTGGGGATTGATCCCTCCACTTTCATCGGAGCGGCACAGTGACAAGACAGACTGCTCATCAGTGGATGGAGGGAGAGAATGATGTGCACGTGACAAAATTAGTTAAGTCACAAACAAATGTTTGTTCGCAGCTTCTAGGAACTGTAACACAGTCAGTGAATTTTAATTAACATCATTTGTAGTGTGTGTTTGTTGCCTTTACGTGTTTACTTCTGAAAACAAATGTGAGAAAAGGTTGGTCAACCTTGGCCTTCGTTAGATGTCACACTTTTAGTTGAAGGTGCGGGAAGCCGTAAACAGATATTTAATGTTGTGCCATTCAACTAAATAGAAAGCCTGGAGAGCTGGTTATAGCAGCAGTTACTGCTTCAGTGGAGGGTTATGTGCTGGTTGTCAGCTGTCATGTTTCCTGGCTCTGACCTGTCACCGGAGATGCTTAACTGCTTGAACTGATCGGCCTCCTGCTGGGTCTCAGTTATTACCACTTGCACTCATTCTTGCCCACACTACCCGCTCCCTCTCATTGTGTCCTTTTGTTTTACATCTGCCTCTTAATTACACTGTTGAGGGGGCATGAAGAAGGAAGAGCCTATTGATTGTTGAGCTGCACTTTGTTTACTCTGACCGTTCAGTTGTTCTCCTGATTCTGCACAACCAGCTCCAGAGAAAGGAGTTGCCACTGACAGAACTCATTGGATAAAGAGCCCTTTGTGGACAGCTTGTTGGCTCTTAGTTCAATTAGAGTTGACTGAGTGTTACAGTTTATCTTGACAATCCAAAGGTTTCCTTCATGGTTGCAAGTGGGCAAGTAACCAGTACACAGAAAGCAATCGACAACACAGTACTTGTCTATGGACTGAGCAGACGTTTGATCAGTTTCCAGAATAACTAATGGAATTGATTTCTTCAAGACTACAAAAACATATATATTTTCACATTTTGTTTATCTATGGTTGTGGTTTCTGAGGTTTCTCTTTCTATTTGTCTTCATATGTGGCTCTCTGTGCTCACAGCATTGGAAAATTGCTATTTAAAAAGCAGCCAGAGGCCAAACTGTGAGAGGTTTTCATCAAAATTACTGAAGAATGAAAACTATTACTGGTGAGGTCTACGGATTATTCAGAGAAAAACGTGTCAGGACCCTGTTTTTAATTTTTGAGGGCCATTTTCTGTCTATCTTAGAGATAAATGTAATGTGAAAAGACAGAAATGAGGAAGGGCTTCCAACAAAGTGCCCGTCTGGACCTGAACAGGAATGTTGCCGCTATTGAATTTCTCTTTTAAAGGTAATTTCTCAGTTCAGTGCTGTGAGAACCAGGTATAAAATTAATTTCGCCTCTATTATGTTGATGCAGAGGCAGAAATCTCACAGGCAAACACCTGAAAAGCTGGGATAATACAAGAAAAAAAAAACTGACAATAAACAAACTCTGCTTGGCTGTACTAGAGGAAAGTAAACAAATATGCTTTCTTGTCATAATTTCAACAAACATTTCCTTTGACAATAACAAATCCACTGTATCAAATGCTACGTTAGAGGTAGAAGTCATTCAAAGGCATTCATAACTTTATTTGGAGTTGTGCTTTTAAAAATTATTAATATTTATATCATAGTAAGAGGTATCTTTAATAATCTTCCTCCTGTGCATATAAATAGTGATGACAAAAAAGGAACACTCGATGTATTATAGCTCAGTCCAACAGTACCTTTAACTATTACACAGTCGTACACATATAGTTAAATGTAATAGATTGTACAGGTGTATCTAATAAAGTGGGAATAGCAGAGAATCCCACAACCTCACCAACCTAAAGCAACGGATCATTTGCTTTATTTGTACAGTCTTAATATGAAAACTAACTATGACTGGAGCTGTGAAATAAATGCAGTGAAGTAAAAAGTCTAATATTTTTAACATATAAAGTAGCACGAAATGACATACCCAAGTAAAGTGCTGCAAAAGTATATATTTGAGTAAATAATTATACTTTCCACCACTGACTTTACATAGCCTTCCTCCCTGACTCATCCTTACAATCATAAAACACATATTTATCATGTTAATCTTCCCTCCAATCATGTGCAGCTAAGTCTTCCCCACTGTCCCACCTCCCCATCCTCCCCCACTCCTCAGCCCTGGATCCGTGCTCTGCCTACATCAGCTTGAATGAACCCTGGAGGAACACAGACTACCACGTCAACCGGTCGTCGGGCGTGCCACTGTGCGACAGCCACGTGTCTGGTGAATGGTATCGCTTCACTGGCATGGCTGGGGACGCCATGCCCACCTTCTGCATCTCCGAGAATCACTGTGGCACGCATGCCCCCATTTGGCTCAACGGCAGCCACCCCCGGCTCCACGAGGGCATCGTCTCCCTGCCCGTCTGTGCCAGCTTCAATGACAACTGCTGCCAGTGGAACGCCAGCGTGGATGTGAAGGCCTGTCCTGGAGGATACTTCGTCTACCGCCTGCCCAGACCTTCAGTCTGCTTCCATGTTTATTGTGGCCGTGAGTGAGCACGTCAGATGTGTGCAAAGCCAGATTTCATTTATCAGTTACTTTTCATTTGCATGATTTTGTGTGTGTTGCACAGATTTCTATGACATCTGTGACGAGGTGGATTGTACAGGTCCCCAGTGCCCAGAATCTGACTGTCGCTGTGCGCCTGGAACTGTCCTGGGACCAGACAGACAAACATGTCTAGGTGAGACAGGCAGGAGACGAGGAGGAGGAGGAGGAGGAGAGGGGCCAGATAAGTTGTGCAACAGATAAGCAGGAAAACCTGGAAGACGGATAGGCAGGAAACGGCCTGTGATGAACAAAAACAAGAAAAATCAATCAGACTGGATTTGCAGTGTGTTCTCTGAACTGTTTTGATATAGACACTCATATTTCTGAGTAATCAGTTCCTACATTACTCAAATATCCATGTTTACTCAACTTAGTAGGATATTCACAATATGGGGCACAACTAGCATAATAAGTTGTGCGTTTCCTCATCATGAGAATTCAGAAATGTTTATAATAGTGTCATAGTCCTAAGAGACATGTGACTTGGTTCACATTCATTCGTGCTGAGAGGGGTAAACTGAAGTTTAATTTTGTTTTGTCAAATATAATAAAGATGCAGCTCAGCCTCTAGCTGTATGCGGCATATAGGTGTAGGTATGAAATATGTAAATATAGCTTACAGTGTAGCTTATCTGGAGCGTTCACCTTCATTTAGAAATCGTTATAAGGCGATGAATTATTTTCCTACTATCTTGGCAGCTCTGTTGCTCACACAACTCTTTTCTTGTACAGTATTTTCCAGTGGTTTTTGACTCAGGCATATCCCCACAATTGTTCAACTGTGAAACCACTGCTTAAATATTTCAATTATTTATTCATTACTTGTAACTGCTTCTGTCATTTATCCGTAACCTTCAGCCAGCTTTCAATGTCTCTGATCGTCTAATAAATAATTTTCATTGTTTAGTTGTTATAACTGCCTCCATGTGTGCATATAATTTCAGTTTTATTTAAAATCTTTGGACACTTTCCCAAACGTCTTCTGAAGCACCTCCTGAAGTACAAGCACCCTGAGTGGGAATCCCTGCTCGGCCATCCCAGCGTCTTTATTTAGTTTCCATGACCTGAGAACTGTAAATACGGCTTATTCAAATATTGCATTTCCAAACCAAAAGACTTATTACGAGAGATAGATCATAAAATATGGATGGATGCAAAGCTGAATGAAGGAAGCGCTAATAGAGACAGAAAGATTGAAGAAATATTTGCTGACTCCACTCCAGGTGAATGTGTGTGTGTCTGTTTGTGTACTAAACTAGCACCTAATGATGGGTGACAGGGATGCAAGGGGGAACCTTGCCAACCTGCAAACTGCCATTACCTCATTATTCACCCATCAACCACATCTGCATTTCCCTGTCTCAGAAATGACTTCTTCATTATCTTTCCTTACTCTCCTGCACCCTCACTCCAGTCCCCCTCCCCTTTTTCATTTCATCCATCACTATTGCTTTACCAGTCCTCTCAGTATTACAAAGTCAGTTTTAAAGTCCTTTAAAGTCGATTTATCTTTCTCTTCCCTGAAGCACTAAGTGAATTGCCTTGAGGTCATACGCTCCACCCATCTGGTACTCAGTCGATTAAAGTTAGAATCATCTGATAGTAATTTCTGACCTGGTGTGGTGTGTGTGTGTGTGTGTGTGTGTGTGTTTAGATGTGAATGAATGTGATAAGGCCAACGGTGGCTGTGCGGAGCTGTGCGTGAACACCAAAGGATCCAGGCGTTGTGAGTGCGGCCGAGGCCGTGTGCTGGATGAGGACGGGCTCAACTGCAAAGGTACATGCACGCATTTATATGACACACCAGTCTGTGCTGTAAAGGGATGACCAAACCAGAAACCCACACAGTGTTTCGAATACTTCTTTTTGCTGTGTTGCCTCATGCAGAGATAGCAGGCTGTCACGTCAACAATGGAGGCTGCAGCCATGCCTGCTCCTTGCTGCCGGACTCCTATCACTGCCACTGTCCTCGAGGGCTGGAGCTGGGAGACGATAAACGCACGTGTCAGGGTGTGTATGTGTGTGTGAGAAGAAGGCGGATACTGTCGTTAGATAATCAATCAGACAGTGAGGGAGGCTGACACGATGGTGCATGCTTGCATTTATCTCAGAAGAGTAGAGATTTGAGGAAAAATGCCTTTCTTCAGGGCATAACTGATATGCTTTTAACATTTCAGTGTCTGGCTTTTTTAAAATTTATTTATTTTTTATCATTGAGCATCCATCATCATATCATCAGTGGCCTTTTCTGTGTACCTTTATTTGACAAACAAGACATATGTTATTTTTTAGTGAATTTGTGTCATCTTTTTGACTTTTTTTTTGAGAGAACACTCCAATGAATGATTGTTTTCAGCACGGCTTAATATCCAGGTTTAATTATTGGTAATTACATTCTTTATAATCAGTCACTCATTTAGTTGATAACATTTCAGAAAAGAGTAAAAAAGTGCATTTTGGAATTTCTCAAACTTGAATATCATGTTTTAAGATGTCTTGCTTGGCCTCACCAACAAACTTCAGTTTATTATTACATAAAGCAAAAAACAAGCTACTGTTCATAAAAGAACCAGCAAATGTCTAGTTTGGAAATTACTTTAATAATCAATCTAAGAACATTTTTGCCATTTAATTTTGTTTCAATGGGATCAATTGAACAACTTATGATTTCATCTCTTTTTAAAATTTCAATCATGTCAAACTTTGAAAAGCAGCAAACTATCACAAGTCAGAAGTTGGAGTCTGTAAATATTGGTGTTTTTGTTCAAATAGAAATCAGCAATTGAGCGTTAATTAATCAATACTGTACAGCTACTACTGCTGGAAAGTCAGAAATGGTTTAAATGTACAGTGGCTTTAAAAAAGACAGTACTTGAAAACATAAAAGGCCCTCTAGGTCTCCTGAATCCTTATATTGATTCAGTATTGAAAGTTCAGGCTAATGGACTGATCAGATATAATCTCTGGAAAAAAAAAATACAATCCAGATCATCCTTTGCTGTCACAGTCTCTTAGTTTTACTGTCTTCTATGTCATTAGACTACAAGCATGCTGCGATGTATGTTTTCAGGAAATCACATTGAGGGCTGACTTTTAAGCTGCTTTTTGTTGCTTTGTCACAATTTGTGTTATTTTGTGGTACAGTGAGAATACAGTATGTCATATCCTCCGTGCATCTCCCTGCAGTGCCGGTCCAGTGTGATCCCAGCTCTATCACAGTGTCAGTTCCTAAGGATCTCGTAGGAGGACTGGAGCTCTCTCTGTCCAACTCATCTTGCCGTGGCGTCTCCAATGGCACACACATCAACCTCAGCTTCAGCCTCAAGACCTGCGGCACAGTGGTGGAGGTCAGAGGATCTGGGATGACAGTTTTTGACTGCATGTCTGCAGGGTGTAGAGTGTCAAGTTAGTGCTTGGAAAGTTGTATGTAATATATTAAAAGAGCTGCACACTTGAATGTGGGCTGACTGAGGTTGTCACAAACCGAAAAAGCCATTAAAGTTACGCAAATGTTCACTCGCAGGTGACAGATAACAAGATTGTGGGGACCAACCTGGTGACAGGTCTTCCCAGGAGCAGCCCAGGCAGTAGCAGAGACTTAATAGTCCGAACCAGCAGGTTAGTGCTCCCAGTCACCTGTGAATTCCCCAGAGAATACCAAGTGTCAGACGGATACCAGGCAAGTCTGCGCAGCTCAGCCTTGGAACTGGCAGGCCACAGTGAGGGCGTCTTCCGGTTCTCCCTGGAGCTCTTCAAGAACTCTGAGTTCTCTGAGTCGTATGGTGCTCCGCCTCAGCTCCGCCTGCACGACTCCCTGTTCTTCGGGGTGGAGCCAAAGGAGAGAGTGGAGGGACTCTCTGCTCTGGTGGAGAGCTGCTTCGCAACACCAGGCCCCAGAGCTGACCAGGCCCTCAAGTATTTCCTCATCAAAGATGGGTGAATAGCTTTGACATTTTCAGTGTCACATCTTGTGCTACATGACATGTTGAACTCAGTGTAAAGGGATTAGATGAACCAGAAAAGGGCATTTCTGAGACAGTGTATCCATTACATTTTTTAATGAACATGTATCTGTTCTGCCACCCTCTATTGGCCAAAGATATAATTCAATAAGCTACAGTCAATTCATGATTAGGTTTACATTTGCAGGATGATCTCAATGTGCTATGCACAGAGAGAAAAGTTTTGTAGTTTCTCAACCAACAGATTTTTTATAGTAAGTGTACAATGTCATCAAATGTGGCAAAAATAAAAAATACAAACAATATTGTCAATATTAAGATTCAGCACAACACAGATAATTATTGTGTATCTAGCCATGCAAAAAGGTTTTATTTGCACAATTAAACAATAAATAAATATATATATCTGTCTCAGGTATTAAGGCTATCACCCCATCATCACTGATGACAATTGCAGTTTGACTTTTTGTACTATCAGCACAAAAATCTCATCTACCCATACTGTACTGAGATGTAACTCAGTGACAGACATTGTAAAACTGGGACAAATAAAAATGAAATTGCCTGGTGCTGCGCATGCATAGATAGATACCACTAAAAAATAAGTAACAGCATTTTTTGTAGTTAGGGGGAACTGACCGTTGAAAATGCGACGCTCACGCAGGGATTGAAAACCGCTGGCTTCTGTCTTTTCAAAACTGTCTTGTTAATACCAGAAATGCATTTGCTTCTGCAACTGTAATAGTTATTATAATAAATGTCAGCAGCATCAGACCCAGTTACTGTGGTGCACAAAAGCCTTAGCGTCGACTACTTGACAGTTATAGGACAGGAAATCTCCAGTCATTCAAAGAAATGTCAAATGAAAAATGCCACTGGCTTAGTACTCTTATTTATGTGGAAAGAAAACAAGAACGCTTATGGTATAAAAACAGAAACAGCCTTATTGTCTATGGAACATTCACTTTTGGCTAACCATTTCTTCAATGAAATCCACTGAGTTTTCTTCCTGCTGCTCTGCAGACACCAATGGAGCAGCACTATAATCTATTTTCACGATTTCCCATTAAATATATAGCAGTGCTTCAGGACCTTGGGGCGGCTCACCTTGATGAAGTGGCTTGTTAGAAATATATATGGATCACTGAATACCGTGTTAAGATAGCAACTGAATGTATGACTGTGTTGTCTCTCTTCGGCTTCCCACGCAGATGCATCTCAGATGAAACAGTGACACAGTACTCGTCAAAGGACCAGCTCTCTAAGCACTACCAGGTCCCTGTCTTCAAGTTCATTGGCAAGGAGAACCGAGTGAGTCAAAGAAGCATGCTGGGTGCCAGCTGGCGAATGCATGTGGGCTTATGTGTGTGTAGCACTACATTGCAAGGACTGTTTTCATAGATTAAAGAAAAAGCACTTTGCTTACCACACTGATGCTTCTACCGAATCTCAAAACAAGCTTCGCCTCTTCTGTTTACAGCAAGTGTTCCTCCACTGCCAGGTGTTGGTATGTGGAGCAGGAGACTCCCGCTGTGCTCAGCATTGTCGGGGACGCGTCCGGAGGGAGGTTCAGACGGATGAACCTCAGGAGCAGCACACACTGAGCGCAGGCCCCATCTTCATCATGCCTTAATTATGATACTAACATAAAGCCATCAGCACAAACACCCATAAATGGGCTATGAGAACATGACACCAGTACAGGCCAGGATCACAAAAATTGCATTTGCATTTAGATTAAAGACGATCATTTCATTTTATTTGGTGTAATACTAAATAAATGTATGCACACACACACAGCTGTCCATTGCACTGTCCCATATACATCTATACATGCAAATGCGCATTATTCTCTCCCCCCCCCCAGTTTCAGCGTTACTCACATCGCAGGAAATAACTTGAATTCTGCCACTTTTCCTCGCAGCACAATTTACTGACATTAAAGTGAATGACATTTCAATTAGAAGCCATTCGGAGGGTCCACAGTTCATCTCTTACAACCACAGCGTGATGGATGTTTTTTGAGGTCACACATTCAGGCATTTCTCAGGCTTGATTATGGCTGAGAGATTTAGTGGATTTATAAAAGTGGCCTATATTTATATTTCACACCATCACTGACTTGAGAAATACACATGGAACATCCATGGCTGCACTCTGACTCGTTTCACTTAGTAAAATCGATGGCTGAGGAGCATTTCACACATTACAGCAGGATGGGAAAAGAGACATCAGTAAGCTGTGCCTGGAAATTATGCACTTGCCTCATCTCTCTGACAATTAATCCAGAGTTAATCATGTCAGTTACACTGCAATTAGTCATGCATTTATTAATAAAAAATAACAAATAACTGGCAAATAACTTACATCAAACATTAACACAGTTGCTGTAATAGGCATCACATTTACATGACACTGACTTAAGGTCTTAGCAGACTAGCTTGACAAATTTAAGATAGCAGCACACAACAGACCATGTGCACCATGGTAATTATCTTGTGTCTTGTATCTGGAGGAAATTAATCCGACTACAATATCCTTCCCGTCTTATCAGCAGGCACTTTGTTTGGAGTCATCAAGTAATTTATGGTAATGGAGTCATAGAGGTCTAAAATTGACCTAAAATGAGGAGTATGGAGAGTGTAATATGCATGAGCAATTAATTAGGAATCTGAAAGTCATACTCTGACAAGTGAAATTTGTTAGTATTGCCTATGAATAAATCATAAGAAATCGTTCCCTATTTATGTCTTTTTTTGATTCTTTGGCTCTGAGTTTCGATAAGGCTCTCGTGACAAAAAGCCTTTAAATGCACTGTATAATATGTAGAAATGTCCATGATTTTGTGTTTTTTTTTTTTGTTTGTAAAAGTGTTCAGGAGTTGTCCATAGATTTTTTTTTTTTTTGTTTGTAAAAGTGTTCAGGAGTTGTCCATAGAATTCTGTGTCACAGTTCGTCCCTCTCCTCTCCCTCGCAGATACACGCTGCCCTCTGGCTGTTCATGTAAGGTCTACAGCCGAGAGTCCACACTGTGTTGTAGAGAGCGTCTGCCATCGATTCACAAGCTGATGAGAAAAGACAGAGAGAGAAGGGAGGCAGACGTTTTGTTTTTTTTTGATAACTCTCAAGTATGAAAGACAGTCCTGATGGTCACAGCCAACAACAGAGAAGAAGCAAATATCTCACCTTGCACTTTGGACACAAAGCCCAGGCTCTTCTTAAGGTCAGAGCAGATGCTATGCAGACACGTGCGAAACTTGGAATCGCAGTCGTACTTGCTCGTGCCACAAGTGTCATAACACGTATCCAGCTGGTTGCAGCACTTTGTCATTGCAGGGATGCCCAGGTCAAGCTGTCAAGAGAAAGAATCGTACTGTGTTAGTGCAATTTACTAATGGAGGACATTTCCAGCCAATATGGAAGTGATTAGCTCCATTATTTACACTTTATAATATTGCTCTGGGCTGTTGGTGCTATGAACAGGCCACCTACAGCAGCATTCACCTGGAATCCCATCAGAGAGGAGCTGCATCCATTGGGATCTGGGAGCTGGTAGCCGGGACGAGGTTGAGGAATTACTCCTAAGAACAAAAGAACAGTTCCATTTAAGTCCCTAACAAAAGAACACAAACTTCATTATCAACTAATGTCATAACATACTCTCAGTTAAGAATCTGCAGCATATCTCTGTTTCCAGGTGTGTTGTTTCACAGATAAGATGTGACTTCTGTTTGAGAACATCTGTATTGATTGCACAACTGTAGGGACATTTACCACCCGGACTGATAAACAAATGCATGCCTCAGGCTCGAGTGTGTTATCTTGGAAAAAGACATACGTAGCTGCTAAACCGACAACAGAAGAATGGATTAAATTTTATATTTGAAGTGTGCTAAGCAAACAAATACACAGAAGCGGATAAATATTGAATGTCGACAAACTAAAAACCTGCTGGGAATGTTTGGTTCAATGAAAACAGTTTAGCAACCAATGGCACCTCTGCTCAGGACTCTAAAGGATTTTTGAATATAAAGTATATAAAAACCATCCTTACCATATCTGCAGCGGTACTCACATATACCGTCGCGCCCCCCCACCAGCTCCACCATGGAGTCAAAGTATCCGTTCATGTTCTGGAAACTACTTCTAATCGAGTTGAAGCTCCAACTGTTATCATCTTCTTGTGCCAAGGGTCTACTCAGGGACTCATTTTTCTCGACCGGCTTGATCTCATTCGCCTCCTCCTCAGATGGAGGTTGCTCCTGGGTGACCGCTCCTTCTGTAAGAGTCTCCACAGCAGGGCTGTCTCCAGCAGGCCCATCACTGTCCGTGCCTGGATCTTTGCTTGTTGCACCATCTGCCACGGGAACATCCACATCAGGTTTGTCACCTGCCAGTTTATCAGCCGAGAGTATTTTAGCCAGTAGATTGTCACCAAAAAGGGAATCAGCAGCAGGTTCCTCAGTTGTAGGTGAATCACCGACTTCTGCTACACTTTCTTTAGCTGCATCTACAGAAGCAGCGTCGACAGCGGCATCAGTAGTAGCAGCAGCAGGGTCCACATCAGGGGCCTTCTCCTCCTGTGCTTCGGTCTGGTAGTGGCCTAATGTGGCACACATTCCTGAAGACGCACAGAGGAGGAGCAGGGCCACAGTCCGAAGCAGCATGGTGTTGAAGTGGCAGCAGTCCAAGCAGAGGTAGTTCTCCACAATGTGAGGTGCTGTTAAAAGGGTTTGAAGAACTCGGACAGAGAGGGACAAAAACACCCTCTGATCCCAGTGACTGTCAGCCAGACTTTGACCTCTGATTAGATTCTAGCAGACAGCAAGGCACTCTTTCGTGTCAGGGCAAAGGCCATCCAATATCAATCTAAAGGAAGGGTTTCATAATCGTAATAATCCTCTCAACCTCTGTGCTTCTTGAACACATTAAATTTCATTGTATCTTTGTACACAAAGTTATAAATGGATTTTTATTACTCAAATCACATGGAACTCGAGCCCAGAGGAAAACCTTATTTGTATTCACTTTAATGCTTGGCACATCTCATACTGCCATTTCCCCTCGCAACCTTTTTCCAGACATCACAAACCTCAAACTATCTTCACTATTTTTGTTAAAGGTCACCAGCTGACACTTGTATCTAAAGAGGAAGAGTAGAGACAAACAGAGCGTTATTTTTATTCATTTGGCATGAGGTGGTGGAGGGGATTTTTGTGTGCGTTGGTGTCAACAGTAAGAATATGTCTTCTGAAGTGCAGTATCATGGGGAAAAAAGGGCCAGTGGATAAATGAAACTATCAACAGGTAAACAACGCTAAGCAAATTAACTGAAACAGTAAAGCCAGTAGGGTTACTGCAGACATCTGTAGCCTACATACATACTGCACTTTTCTCATATGTCTCTGCTGCCCTCTTGTGTTTAAAGAGAAACGTGCTCACAATTCTGTAACAATTTTGAAAATCTTTGGCCTTTTGAGTGTCCAACAAAAGAAGTCTGACTTATTTCAGATGTGAACTATGGTATGGACTTTAATTTAAATAAAACAAACAAACATGGCTTTGACAAGATCAAGCTTCTGTTATCTGCTTTGAAAGCAAAATCTACTTAACTAATCAACATCTGTGCAGCTTCGGGCTCTACACACAACAACCTATTTGATTTCTAACTTGAGGCGGACGTTGCTCATATTAACAAAGACTAACTGGATTGCTTCGGGCCACTAAAACAACATATGTGAGGTGTCAAATTCACAGCTGCGCTTTAACCGCTGGATGACAGAATCTGTAAAACGCAGTGTTCTCTATTATGAAACACCACATGTGCATGCCATTACTGGATCTGAAGCACTTTCAATATAACTGCTCCTTAATTTACTCACAAATTTTACTTCACTACATTATTTTGACACATGTAGCGCCAGTGATATATTAGTATAACTCTACAAATTATGATTTCACATACAAAACACATGACCATCTTCGATAAAAGACCACAATATTACAGATTAAACCACATAGCAGTGTATAAAACTCCTGTTGATATTTCTGTATGCAGCTATTAGATCATTTTTCAAATAAAACAGGAAAGAGTTACAAAAAATTTCTCAGAATGTAGATGTTCAGAAGTCAATAATGTCTGTATTCTGTCTATAAATAAAAACCATTTGGTACTGCGGCGGCACTTCCTAGAAGTGGGCACCCAGCTCACATGACTTTGCCACTAAATGTTCAGTAAGTTGAGCGCTAAAGGCTTAATAGAATCACTGGAGCTGGTTAACGCAGCTGCCCATGAGTCTAACCACCGAGAACATGGTACATGACGTCCACGGCAGGACACCACAGGGGAAACACTGCCCTGTGATTGTCTGCTAGTAGTTTCGGCACATTGTGTTTGTCTATACATGTTACTGGGATGAAGATCAGATAACATTTTATCACCAATTAATGCAGAAAACCAGTTTATCCTAACAGGTATGCATACTTTTTTTGTGCACTATATATACTACATGACAGGGTAATGAACAGGATAACATAAACACATAGTTATAAGTTGCTTGCCGGCTGTCAGTGATGTGATTTAATTACATATTCCTCTGGTTTACTTGCAGATGAACCTATTCACGCTCTGTTTGTAGATCACGGTATATTTCATCCCACAACATCCTGGGGTCAAACACAGGAAAGCACATATAAGCAAGAAAGAACTACATACTAGTCAAGTGTCACATGCTCAGCATGTGCAAAACACCACATACCGTCTTATGGCCTTGCTTGCCTTCTCTCTGTTTAGCACCACATTGATCTTGTTTTCTAGATCCTTAAAGGAAAACAAGAAATTAAAATAACATCCCAGAGCAAGACAGCCATTTGAAATCGGAAATACATGTGATATGAAAAAATATAATGGTAGGAAAGAGGTCAAACTCTCTTACCTTGTTAATGGTCCTTAGACGATCATTTGAGGCTATCAGTTTCAATATCTCAAGCTGGAAACCAACAGGGAAAATGCTACATAAATAAAATATGAAACTGTATTCACACGTATACTGTCCTGCTTTCATTTGATTTCTAAAGCAGAGAAAAGCTAAACTCCATACTCAGTGTGGTGTAAAAGTCAAGGTGTGCTTTTCATACACTTGCAGGGCAAAGTCATACTAAGATGTTGAACCTTTCACCACCTTTTGATCTTTGATGCGTCTTTCAGTGGCAGCGGTTGTCGCAGTGGGCACCAGCTTCTCCTTAATCTCCTTCTCCAACTGTTGGATCTCCTCCCACGTGTTCAACACTTGAAGCCTCCTGAATTGGACGCCGTCAGTGCGGACGACGGCAGTTTCACTGTCTTGCCGCAGCCCTGACAGAGATGTATCTGTCCAAACATAAAAAAGTCAAGCATTTCTGCAATGTGGAGTGAATAGAGATGGATCTGTACTTGATCCGTACGCAACCTCGCAGGCGTAATAAATCCAGAGCTGATAGTACATGTAGTCTGTTGGCATGATAAAGTGAATATTTGTTCAGTCTGTTCACGTAAGAGACGTATGATATTTAAAAGCTAGCATGTGCACTCGCCCTGCAGGATGATATACTGTAAGCACTCAGATGTGGTTTACTAATGATTAGATATATGTGGTCTTGAGACTTACTTTTCATGTCACCGTCCTCTGGGCTTGTAATAGCTTGGAGGCTCCGCAATTCATTACGGGCTCTGGGGTTAAAAAAGATCAACCATGCCAAATTTAGAAGAAAGTTCAACCCACAAACATAAAAACACACAAATATGTGCTTTGTTTTTAATGCTTGCAGTACCGTTTATTCTCCTCTAGAGCTCTTCTGGCCTCCTGCTCCAGCCTGCAAACCTCTTTTTCAGCATCACTGAATTCCGTTTCACTTATATTGTCATTTCCAAGATCTTTAAGTGAAGTATTGAGCGACTACAGCAACAAAGACAAACACTGTTTTGCCACAAATGCAAAAGATGCTTGACAGAAAAGCTTGTTCTGTGACTATTGCAAAACCAGGTGAGGCTTCATCCTTTTAAACGTCTTAAATGTGCATTCCTCTGAGGTCCATAAACACATTCCGTCTCAAGTTTAGTCAGAAAACACAGGTAGTTATAATCTTACCATTCAACACAGATCTTATTGTAGCAGCTCTGAGTTCAGTTCTTGAAAGATATGTGTCATCGTTGACCCCTTAAACTGTGGATGAACTTTTGGTGCAATTTTGTTATATTACGATAACCTCTATAAAGAAAAAAGTCCGGAATATCAAGGCAGATTTTCTTTTTTGAGAAGATGCTATTTGCTGGCTTTCATTTTTACGCAGTGTAAAAAGAAGACAGACTCCAAATGTACCTAAACTTGACACCCAGAAGGGAATCAACATCTTTGATAGGAAATGAGGCCTGAGACTCACAGCCATGCTTCAGGTCTTCTTCTACTTTCTATTTATGTCTATACTAAATACATCAGAGGCAGTGTACTTTACCATATTGTGTGGAGATGAATGGAAAGTCATCAAGTCGTTGACATACAAATCATAATCAGTCTGAAAGGAAAAAAGAAAACATATTTCACTATGTGTATTTATGACTAAAAATCATCTTCCTCAGCATAACAAAAGCTTCTCAAAAACGAGTACAGTCACAGACATTACAGTAATGGTGGAACCTGGAGACATTAAACCTCCTGGTACAGCTCTTGTGTATAAAATATCCAGGGATTTGTACAAAAAACAATTTCTTAGGCAAACACATATAATATTTTGGACACTATTAAATTACACATGCATAACATGTTGGCATCTTAATGTCAATTTCAGTTTTGCTCCTGTGCAAAATTTGCAAATGTTGCCATGCGTAATTCTAAACAGGTGAATCAGTTTCACTAACAGTGTAAGCAAAGCAATTAGGTGCAGAGAAGAAACCTGCAATGTCCTGAAGGCATTTCTCATGAATGAGCAGTAATGGAACCATTGCCCTCAGATGACCTGCTCCCCGACGCACCAGGTTCTGCTGGTTGCTCTACTTGCGCTCGCTCCACCAGGGACTCACTCTCTCTTGGCACTAATACATCTGACAGCACATGCTAAAAATGTGCTAGTGGGTACAGAGGAAATGGAAAAACCTTAATTTCCCTCAGGATGCGTCCAAATACTGGCGAGCCTTCACATACATCATCAAAGACGTCACTGAACACCGCAAGGCGCTCTCTGCTGGGCCTGCTCTGCGCTGACAACTTACTCAACTCCTGTGCAAGACAGGAACACACAGACACACAGCATTGGCAAGTTAAAATGCATGTCGGAGTCTGTGCATGTCGTTATTCATGCGCAGTCTGCAGGAGTGTTGACTTTAAAAAATGTACATTAGGAAGTCTGTAAATTGCAAAACTAGTTTGTTGAGTCAGTTTGACTATTCTCACCTTTTGCAGTTTCGTCTCATGCGTTTCAGCAACATTTGTTCCAGCCCAGAGATCTGGCTTGGCTAAGATTTGCCTTCCAAGCTGTTGTTTTATTTCTTGCTGGTCTTTAATACTCAGGCCTTCCTGGTCAGAATGGCTCGGGCAAAACTGATGATTGCTCTCCGTATCAGATGAAGAGTTGGACTTCTTCTGAGAACAGGCTCTCAGCTGGGCCGAGGAAGAGTTTAAGGAAGGATAAAGTATCTCAGGTAGCCTTATATCTTCCCTTCTGTCTGCATGTGATGAATGCTCAGCAGATTGATCTTGTCTTGCTCCCAACACCTCAGACTCTACAGTGGTGAACTCTGAGGGAGGCTCTTTTGTTTCCTTCCTCTTTAGATCAGGTAGTGTCTTTGTCTGTCTCTTCTGGAGTGTCAGGGAGGTCGGAGTTTCTTTTAGGCTCTGAGACATCCTCCAGAAAAACTGCTTTGTCTCCCCGTGAGGCCGGTCCAGGCTGCGCGGCCCCAGATGGCCTGAGGAATAGGTCAGAATATCAGCCTTCTGCCCAGCTTCAGCAGCCAGCAGCAGCCTGTGGATGTCACTCCCATAGCTCCAAGACTTTGGCTTACAGCTGTTGGACATGGCTGCGAAGACACATGAGGCAAATGTCTAATGTACTTAGCTTACATGAAGTACAACACATTTCCCTACATTATACAGAGTTTTAATTTCCTACACTACCACATTAATCCATTGAACAATGAACATTAACAACAATGAACTTAGCTTGTAAAAACTAACAAAGAGTCAGTTCTTAGTATTTACGCTTTTACATTCACTTAGTATATTTCTAACAATCATGTTGATGCTTGAGATCTAAACAGACACGCAGGAAGCCTAAATAATAACCTCACCTCACCTTATTGTATTTTTCTTTTCTACAGAATCACGACAAACACAACCAACTTTCTTCATGGCCGCCGCTCTGCGCTTCACTCGGTTGCCATGGAGACTGACGTAAGGGTTGCGTTCAGGGTCTTCGTAATAATCGGACCTGGGAGCTTTCAAGTGAAAGACCAGAAACACAGACAAACAGGTGAGGTTCACGTGTGCAGTGAAGACAGCACTATGCAAACGTTTACATTTGACATATTGAGCACAGTCGGTAAGTTCATGTTTTTAGAAACTTCAGCAATAAACTGACAAGTAATATAAAACAGTTGTGGATATTCATAAAAATGACTTAGAAGTTAAAAATAACTTTTTAATTTCTTTGCAAGCTTTGTTCACTGGGGTTACAATGTTACCGGCATTTGTTAATTTGTAACTTATTTCAAAGTATAAACAACAAACAAACATGAGAAAAACAAAGAAAACAAAGGTCATAGGTTTATAGGTCAGCAAGGTTATTGCAACACAGTCCTTAATATCTGTAGCTATCTCTGTTCCTGTCCCTTTCTCTCTATTCAATTTAATTCCATATACTTCACTGAACATCGGGTTAGCATTACTGCCAATTCTTTAAGGAAGGTGCAGTTGACAAAAAAGTAAAAACACAACATTTTCTTGAGTAGAATAATAAAAAAAACTAATATGAAGATCAAAAGAATGAGACAAAAAAAGATTTTAAAAAACCCAAAAAACAATCCTGTAAACATGTGTTTTGTGTGTGTGTGTATCTTCTGTATGAGAAACTGTGTCATATTCTGTGATGTTTTAATTGTTTATCTCTCATCTTGTGATGTGCAGTTGCATATTGTGTTGCTAGGTATTCCACTTGTTCCTCTCCTAACAGAATCTGTTGTTATTTTAAGAATTACAAGTCAAATTCCTTAAAGTATTACTGTCTCCTATTATTGTATTCGTCACATTTTAAAATGAAGTGCATCTCTGTCTCTACTTCATCTGTCATGCAGTGATCACAAACACATTATTCTGTCAGTAGTGACAACTTCTCGTGGCGTCTTTTCTCTGTGGCTGCATACTGGTCATTGAATCTGTATTTGGTCAGAATCTATCTCTGCTTTATATTTCTGAAAGGAAAGAAACGTTTTGACAATTTAGATTTATGGCTTAGGGCAATGGTTTGGTTCTGGTTTGATTCCTAAAGCATTGCAGATAAGTATCTTTTGTTAATGTAATAATTTGACTGTTTTGTGGTTGGAGAGCAGCACTAGTCTAAGGTTGATCTGTATTAGGTGTCTGATCAGCAAGACCAGATAACAGAAGGAACCTTTTCAGTTAGTCATAATGCAGTTCAGTATTGTGCCACTTATGTCACACTGTGTGTTAAAATATCTTTTTTTGTGTGTGTATGTGTGTGTGTTTTTTGTTTTTTGTTTTTCCTCAAAAGCCACCAAAAGATGGTCAACACCAAAATATGTGCACATGATTTGCAAGAGGAAAACAACTTTTTAGCATCTGGTTACTTTGCAACTGCAAATGATTACACAATTGAACAGCAAATCATCCTTGTTTTAACAAATCATGGAGGGAGAAGAGCTAGTTTTGGAATCTAATTTCACATCAAATAGCACCATCAGCTGATGATTCATTTTTTTTGGTTTCCCTGTTATGAAACATAAAACAAACAGACAACAGAAAAGAGATATATTTGTGGTACCCATAGGGCAGAGAAAATATTGTGATAGCAAGTAGGGAGGCAGCTGACCATGTGTAAAGTGAACATGAGTGTTTGATTTACAGCAAAGCAGCTTGAAAATTCAATAAGTAAAGGCAAGAGCTACTTTAAATCCAAAATCCCAGCTCACTAGAGCTTATCCTTTATATTTGCTGCCTTATCCAACTGCCCTCTGACAAGCTTTTCTGTTTTGAATGTAGTCGCCAAGAGGAGCAATGCTACACAACCTGTTTAACCCTGCAAATAACAGTTGTGTGCAGTGCAATGGAAGCAATGAAGTTTAACAAATTCCCCTTGTTTTTCCATATTTTGTTATTTGTTTTCTGCAGACTGTCACAAATCCTGCACAGACTACTACCAAACAAATTGTGTAAACTTCTGGATACTAGTCTTTCTGGAATCTGGATGCTGCTTCGTAAATACTTTTATCAAACGACCATTATAATCTGGTTATTTGCAATAATTGGGTCAATGTGTGCAAGTAAACACATGATCTTGAGGGTAGCCTAAAGTGCAAAAGCGAGGGAGGAGGAGAAGGAGAGTGAAACTGGGCCTCAGGGCTGCAATGACCAGAATAGGAAAGCACCCAGATGGCAAAGCTGAACACGAGCAGGGAGAGTAACATGTTATGCTTCACTGAAACGAGTAGCATCAAACAGTGGAGTTGGCATTTGCATTTGCGCTGTCCATTTGATATTTAATGTTAAATAAAAGAATGCAATGAAAGATGCATGACGATCCTCAGAACTTTACTTCCAATTGAGGATGTGTTGCCGATAGCATTGTGAAATGCCACACTCCAAATGTTATAGATCACTTCGTGTTTCTAAGGTAATTTAAGAATCATTAGTAAAAAAAAAAAAAAAAAAGGGCACAATAAAAAGCATTGCATAGCAAGATTTAAATTGTCTCATGATCCATGTTTCACACTTCTTTTACTCCATCCAGCTGAATTTAAATTTGCTCTCTAACCTCAGTGTCAGTTTCCTGTTTTTAAACACGATGGTTGATCTGCTGTGGTGGGCGGCCATCTTGTGGAAATGTGTAGGTTTTATTGTTAATCTGAGCAATAACAGCTGAGGAAGATTGGACTATTTCACAGAACCAGTTACCCTTTCATTATAATATATAATATACAGTCAAAGAAAATAGTACACCTATATACACTATCAGAGGTCCAAGAGAGGCTCATGGAGGCCTCTTCCAGATCCATACATGCCTTCAAAGTAAAACTGTACAACTCAGACTTACAGTATCTGCGGCCATTCAGAAGCTGTTTTCATTTTCTTAATTTGTTTATTTGTTTGGCTGGCTCATAAAGCAAAAAAAAAATTGATTGCATGTCATGAAGAGTTAAGTAGAGTGGAAGAAAAAAAAAAGAAGCAAAACAGTGTCTTCAATGAAACACTGATAGGTGACAAATTAAAACCTGAAACCTTAACCCCTACACAGAGAGAATTTGGTGCATTTTGCTAGCATGACTTGGGTCCACTTGTCATCTTATGATGAATTGTCACTGAAAATCAAAGTTGTTTTGAGCGATCACCTTCATCTTATGGATAAACATTTCTATACTGAAGGTCTCTTCCAGGATGTCAAGCTCTCTATCCCTAAGCCACAAGGTCTCAATGAATGCATTGATGTAAATCATATAAATCATATCCTCTGGCTTTCAAAGTCACCAGATCTCAACCCAGTTGAACACATCTTAGAGAATTTGGACCAACGAGCTAGACATTGGTCTCCACAACCATAATCAAAACACTAAATGAAGGAATATCTTTTGGAAGGATGATGTTCATCCCTCCAGTTGAGTTCCAGAGAATCAATGCCATGGTGCACTAATGCTGGTCAGGTAGCATGTGATGGTTCAGCGCCTTACTAAGATACTTTACATTGGGTTTTCCTTTTGTCAGCCATCTGTGCATGGTATTAACAAAATAACATTAGCTAAAAATTGTGGCTACGGTATCACAAGTTTCCTGGACATTTGATTATTTAATAGCATTAAAAAAAGTCTTTGCAGGTCCCGTGTGAGCACAGTCAATGCATCAGACTGCAGTTCTCCCAGCTCATCCAACAAGAAATCAAAGGAAGATGTTCTCACCATTTGCAGCAATTTACCAGCCACAAAGTCTGCGACCAATTTTACTCCAAATTTGAGGAAAATGCGTCAGACAATTGCGGAATAGTTTAAAACTGGATCTACTTACTTTAAGTGGAATAACATGCCGACCGTTTAAGAGTGATGCCTTATCACCCAACACTCGCAGTAAGTTCAACAGTATGGTGGGAAAAAAAAACATGAAATAAATAATGCTCTGGCACAAAGATGTATTTTTCAGGTATTTAATAAAAGTAATTTGGGCTACTGCTCTTACATTTACAGTTGAGACATTCCTCAGTTATTCTGGGTAACAGTAACATGTCTAGACCGTTTAATTTATCTTAATGTTTACTTTGTACAAAACAAAAAGGCCAACATTATTTTTCTTTGTATAAAAAATATAAGTTAATTTAAATTTAACTCTAATTAAGAAAATAACAATAGTAATAATAGCAATAATAATAATGATAAAGATCATAAGCTAAACATAGTGCAGACAATGGGATATAATTGGTGCTGAAAAGTAGAGGGACAGTGCAGTGACTTTACCATGTTGTCAGGTGGGGGGTTGGAGTGGGGAAAGAGACAGTCAAAAGCTTTCTCTCGCACACACATGCACACACACACACTCTCACACAAACACACACACACATAGTGTACACACCCAGACAGAAAGTGCACGACTGCCATTCAGTTTAGCACCATCAGAGCATACATCTCAGTCTGTACAAACTAATTCCTAGATTGTACACAGTATACACCTATTACCGTATATGCAAAATTATATAGAAACTTCAGTTTAGGTGCATGCTAATTGTTGCTCTTGGTTGAAGCTTACTGGAAGCAATTCTGAAAAGTAAGACAGAGCACATCGTGGAAACTGATGGCGCACTAACCCAACATGCCACCACCGAGAATCTGCAACCGACAAAAAACATTCATCAAAATGTACATTCACAACACCTGGGGGGAAGGAGGAGGGAGGGGGGGGGCACAGTACCACTCGTGCGACAAATTATTTGAGCGGTAATGTCAGTCTTGGAGGGACATTGTCCACTGGAATGACAGTTTCAGACAAAATAATTTGCCTTTTGGAAGATCTTGGAAACTCATTTGAAAGAGTCCAAATGTACCCCCTTGCATGGACGTTGGAGAATGAGTGTAAAAGGAGGAGGATTTCTTATTGATGAGGAGAAACTTCAGTCACACGCCAGCAAAAAGTCAAACATTCTCGAGTTGCAATCCCAGAGATAGACATGTTTTGTTTTTTTTTAAACTTTAGCTTAACACATTGGACATTGTGGGAAAATAAGAAGCAGAGCGTTGCTTGTTGTTGACTTCAGTGTCATAAATGTTTCACACTACGGCTTTAATCCTGCAAGAAAACCCGCCTAGTTCAAAAAGAAAGATGCCCCACCATAAAGGCTATCATCTATTGTGATCCTTAATTTAACTTGCTGTGTAACATAACTCATGATGTGATAGTGGTGTGACAAAATAAGAGTGGAATTAAAGTAGTATGCAGTCTTGGCTTACTAAGAATGACTAACTGATGTGTCTGTCTTGCTCTTTTATTTTTTTTGACCTCTGTATCACTACTTAGAATCAGATCTGTTAATCAGAAAGATGTTGATGTACTATGCAGCAGGTTCCTACATGCTTCGGGGTGATGGGCTGTGGGCTCCACTTCAGGCAGAAACATTGTGACTTTCTTGTGACTGTATTCACAAGTGTCCACATTATCTAACTCCTCTCATCACAGTTCTTCCACGTTTGTAGAATATGCTGCGGGGGGATTTCTGCAATCTCCACGTAGAATAGGCTGTATGTCTGTATTCAAGTACTGCAAAGGATTTTTGCTCAAAAAGTAATTAAAAAACATTCTAAAGTCCACCTTCTCAATAAGGCGGCATTACACCATACATCTGCTCTACACATTCCTTCTGTCTCTGGGAATACCTTGCTGAAGTAGTGCGCGTACAATAAACCTACCACAGAAGGCAAACAGTACCATTTCGAAAAAAAAAAAAAAAGCCTGAACTGAAAAGAGGGTTTCACATATCTTAGCTTGTGAAAGGTTCAGAGTAAGGCCTCTGCAAATACAAGACCATAATGGAATCAGCTCAAATAAAGAAAAATCATAAAACAACATTTTAAAAAAAGCTAAAATAAAACAACCAAAACGGCACAAGTTCATTATACCAAATGAATTCCCAAGCTGAGTGGACGCAGGGTGATGGGTTGAAGTCCCTCCCCGACGACTGCCTGTCAGTCTCTGGGATCGGTGAAACCGTCAGTGTTGACACCTCCGTCACCCAATGAGGTAACTGTGTGTTTTCAAAGTCAAGTCGCCTTTTAGCTAATCCGTCTCCTGCTGACACAAGGTGTGGGTTCTTTTCCCCTGACAAAGTTCCAGGTCTGTGGCAGGATTCAGGTTGTATTCCTTTGGTGGGCCAGCAACCACTTTGGTAGTCAGTTGTCCACCTTGACAGGGCCTGAATCACAAGGCCGGCTGGGCACGACATCCTCCACTTCTCCCCGCGCTATTTTCTCCCACTGGCCCAGGTTGTCTCTGCAAACACAAAGCACCAGCATTAAGTTCTGACTCAAAAGACGTCATTCATTACAGCAAAAACATAGCTTAGAATCAAAAATAAGAGGATGAAACCACGTTGGCAAGAATAAAATAACCTTATGAACGTGAATAATAGGACATTTATAAAAATAAAAAAAATAATGTAGACAAGATTATCTGTTATTTTTACATCATTTATCATATTTTACTTTGATGAAGCCACAATCAGTTATATGTTTGTTGCTTATTCCACTGCTGCTGCAACTGTAACAGTGAGCACACAACATTATAACACTGTGCTGCCACAAGGGTGTGCATGTAATATTTACAATGGCATGGATACAAAATTGTAAAAGACAGAAATAAAACAAAAATACTGCAGGAATTATGCAAAAGTGGTAAGCCACAAATAAAGGAATACCCACATATACGTATTATTAGATTATGATTTTTGGGGAGGTCCATATTAACAACAACTAATAGCAACAATCAACCATTCTAAACTGCATTAAACAACAAAATATATGTATTTTAATCGCTTTACCATTACGCAACTCTTAAGAGTGACGCTGAAATGAACAATGGTCAAACAGACGTCACTACGGCCAGGCTGCACCTGTGCAGTTCATTAGTCATCCGCAGTAGTGCTCCCGTCAGTTCCTGTTGTCATGAAGGTAACCTCTCCCCTCCGCGCTATAATCCAGCCTGACATATGAGTGCATAAAGTGCTGGCCTTTGCTGCCATTCTATTCAATTAGCCGGACCTGATGCAGTTTACACGTCTTTGGCAGATCCCACAACAAGCAGCAGGGCTCCACAGGGTCTAGGCCTGCTGCCCACCAAGAGCCCCGTGCTGACGTACGCCCGGGGCTTAAATATTACACTGCTCACTTTGTTTGCATTCCCCGCAGATCAAGGACACATTTTTAAAAAGCAGCAGCAGAGAGGGCAGGCAAGTTTGCAATATGATCCTGCTGAAAAATCCAGAAATAACAATCGTAAATACGCTCTTATCGAATGAGAAAGTGGACATGCCAGACAAGCAATGTCAGAGCACGCGCACTGATGCGTTGAATGAGGAAGAGCAACTGTTCCCAGTTAGTATTTTCACATTATTTTAAATAGAATTTAGTTTTATCTGAATGCTAGAGCGCATATTGGTTTAATCTAATATCAGTACAGCAGCATGTTTTGTTTTTTTTTTGTTGGTATTTTCAGTGGAACGCTCGGAATGTGCGCCTATACACACACACTCCTTATCACCTCTAATCTTATTTGTCTGGCCAGTTGCTGTCGGTCAGACAAGGCCAGCTCACACATCACTTGTTGCACAGCTCCTGTCAGTGCATTTACTGATCTCACCTGATGGCAAATCACCATGACAATGTAGACTGAAGTAACTTTTTGACAGTGTTATTTTTGAGCTTTTTTTTTAATTTTTTTTTTACAAAAAATAAATAATAATTAAACAACAGTCCTAGCTTTTCTCATTCTTAAACATATATAACTGAGAAAAACTGAAGCTTGGTATAACTAACCTGCAGGCTTTCAAAAGAGGACCGGATGGAGGGAAAAGCTCTGCTAGTGTCGTGTAACATGGAATTGCAACAGCATTATAGAATCCCACCTTAAAAAAGAGAAACCAAAAATAATTAGTGAGTATAGTTTTATAAACAATACAAACAGCTTCATATTTAATGTCGTACATTAAGGAACAATCAAAAACATATTTTCTCGTGGGTCTGTGATGTATTGATAAAGGCTTATTTGTGGCCAATGACTACTGAGGGAAGTGTCTGAAGTCATGAAGTGTGGTGTTAATGGTCAACCTGATGACAAAAATTGTACAATTCAAAACAAAACAAACAAAAAAGCTGCACTACACAATAACAATTTGTAATATTGGAGTAATTCAGACATAAAAGTTCGAACTGGAAACTTGATCCTTAAATTTGTTACGTATGAAAACCCGGCAGGAATCCCTGGAATCAGTGTTTTAATTTTTAATTATTAAATAAATAATATGAAGAGTAAGTGGCAAAAATCTTCAGATTCACTCCATAATTGCTGACTGTAATTCCGTCCCAACACCTAAAGCTAACTGAAAGTTGCATTAGCCTTTCTACCAGCCTGAAGTTCTGCTTTCCTAATATATGGAGTATCACAATGTTCAGGGTCCTTTGAATAAGCTTTAAAAGTGGGGTTTAATTCAGAGGCTGCAGGGGGTGGACACAAAATTTGCATATGCAAAAAGGAATAAACGCAACTTTGGTTTTGCTTTTGTAAAGTTGGTGTGAGTGTGTGTGTGTGTATGTGTGTGTATGTGTGTGTTTGTGTGCGTAGCCGTATGTGCATGTGTATACATGGAGGGTGGGGGGGACGGTTTTCTTATCTTTTTTTCTTTTTTTCTTTCTTTGACAATGTTTTCAATGCTGTAAAGCACTTTGTGTTGCTATATGTATGAAAAGTGATATATAAATAAAATTTGATTTGAGTTGATGATGTTCTGTTTATTTGGACAGAAGTGTTGATTTAACTGTGATTTGGCCCATTTCTGTAAAACCTTCCCGTCCTTATTGTGAAACGTAATACTGTTTTTAAACAAAAATTCTATTATTATTATTGTTGTTGTTGTTGTTGTTGTTGGAAGGGTTTTAATGGAAGGACTGTGTCTGTAATTTAGGTACCAAATATTTGGAGACTTGGCAGTGCTGTGAATTCTTTGAATCACTGTTAAATTAATATTTTATGTATTTATTGAGTTCTTTTGATGATCCTGCACACCCACACCAGTTTTCAATTACATTGGCTGAATGTACCTCCAGTGCAATAGTTATTTAAACTACACACACCCAAAGCAGAGGTTCCTCTTACACTGCATACTGTGTCGAGTTCATTCAAATTGAGTAAAGCTTTACTAAAATATATATTGTGTTCATATTTAGCAACATTGGTCTTTCTGCTATCCTGGATTTTAACTGTTGTTTATCCTACATGAGCAGGATTTTCTAGCATTTGTTCAGCTGTTTCCATTTATGTTTTCTTTTCTCTTTAAACTCTTGTTCTGAGAACTTCTTAAAGGATCTGTAACTCTCCATGTAAAAGTGCTGGACCTACTTGGCCTTGGGGAACCTCGTCCTTCTTGTCTCTGTCCATCATAGGGATCGGCTGCATCCCAATCTTTTTCATCTCATCTCCCTGCGGAGGAACAAAATCAACAAAATAACTCTCCTTTTATTTTTATACCCTGTGGAATCTCCTGACCAATGGAAATCACTATTTTTGCCTTACAAATGAGAAAACATGCAAAGTTGTGGCAACATATACAAGTGATAACAGACGTATCACTGTTATGCCGGAGGAATGATCATGACACTAAAACTGTTTGCTCTAACAGTATCCCACTGTACCTCAGCCCAGAACTCAGCATAGATGTCGTTGGCTGTGAGTCGTGTGATTGGCCATTGCTTGGTAACAGAACACAGGTCACATGCTGTCATCATCAGACCAATCACACGGTCCCTGGAGGGGAGCAAAGCCTTGTTATATCCATGTGGAGAAACTCAATGTGCTGTTCATGCACGCCAGGTTTGCTTTTCTCTGTGCTCTGCTATGAGGACCGGTTCGAATCTGGACCTGACCTGTGCGCCAGTGTGAGTCATGGTCTGACCTGTGCGAGTGGTTGTTCAAGTCCAGCGCACCCGAGGTCAGCAGCTCCGACAGCTGCTGGTGGTTGTTGAAGTACAGGGCGAGGTCCGTGGCGATGATGGCCTTTCGGATGATCTCCAGCACCTGCTCATACTCGCTGGAATTCAGGTTGGAGAAAATATTGTGCCCTTCCAGCTATGAGAAACAAAGAGATCAATAAAAAAGCAAAAGCTCCACTTATGAGGCGTTCAGCTCAGCTAGACTACAACAGGTTGCAATCGCAGGTTCATCTCAGGCCAGCAGATCCTGGACAGAAGAGGACAACCACAACTAAATCACATGATCCTTTCAATGGATCTAAAATTGACAGTGTGTATGTGTAATGAGTTTTAAAAAAAATGTATTTATTTATTTCAGTGTCACTGCTATTATGGGATCCATATGTGCAAATTAGAAGAATGTAAGACTACCTAGAAATGTGGAAAGTGTCTGCTTCTCTCACAGTTTTTCAAGTCTGTGTAAAGGAAATTCAGAGAAATGCTTCCAAACACATTATGTACAACAGAAGACAATTGCTGAAAACGTGAAAAGACTCGACTACAGACTATATGGTATTTATATGTGGAGACAAACTGTTAAACTGTTCATTTTTGTGTTCAGTTCATTGCTCAACTGGAGCCATGCTCTGAAAAAACAGAGCACAGCAGCATCAGTGGTTCTCCTGCTTGATCACAAGTTACAAAACCCTCTACAGCCTATAGTTTGCTGGGTAGCTATGCATTTTCCCAGCAAATGCGTGTTCCCTGGATGTCCACATTTGCAGAAAAGCTCAGTCACGACATGTTGAAGAGGTGAACCTATTTTGTAAGGATCCACTCTGATGGAGAACTGAGGATCACCCACTTCTACAGTGACCATTTTACACCTGGTAGTTTTACAGACTTTCATCGGAGAAAAAAGGAATTCAGAGATGATTTGCAGCTACTGATGAATGGGAATCAATCTTCCTTCCATCCCACCAACATCCGGTCCCATAATTGGCAGTACAAGGCCGACAATTAGTGTAAGTTGCCTTCTGTTCTTAGTTTATTATATTAGTTTATTATAACAAAAATAAAAAAATAAAAATCTCTAGCTACAGTGCACCTTTGTAATTTCACATCTCACATGTTTGGTTCTGTTAAAACAAACTCAGGTCTGTTTGCACAGTGAGTACGATTCATTTAGGCTTTTGTAAAAGGCTGTTAACAGTGTCTTCAGCAGACACCCCCTCAGCATTTTAGAGAATATTACTTAATTTTTCATGATTCTGACAGAACAAATTGTACATGACGATATTTTTCTACTCATTAAACTTTAGCTGGGTGGTTAATAACACAGTTTTCTGTGGTTTCACAAACTAAGAACACATTTTTACTGCTTTAAAGTTTATTATGTTTAGGTGACATCAGCTATGCAGCCATAAGTATGTATTTATGGGTGGGCTCTGAGTTGTGATCTGCTTTCCTTTGCTGATGAAGTTTGTCCACATATGGCACTATTTTTTTTTACATCCTCCTCTTGCCTATTGAAATATTTTGCAGTAACTTAGAAGCATGCTGCTTGAACTATATTTAAAAAAAATCCCATTTGGTCCTTTATTTTATGCTAAATATTTGAATAAGAAAACATAAATGTTTAAAAAATGTTGACTTTAGCTGTGCAGTAATTCTGCATAGTGGAGCTCTACCTGCAGGATGGAGACGGTCTGAGAGAAGTGGTGCTGCTCCATGGTGGAGGTGGAGTACAGAGCAGCCAGCGGATGGTCAAACTTCTGCAGGTAAGCGTTGCTGTACCCTCGATGGTCCAGATCATGGCACAGACAGGCTATCAACAAACCCTTCTTCTGTAACGCAGAGTAGGTAAATGAAAAAAAATGTAAAAAACATGTAATCTCACACATAAACTTCAGATGTTGTTTTTTTTTCTCCCTAACAGACCCAACAAGAAGCAAACCTCTAGCTCTGTGAACATCTCAGAGGTTTTCTGTAGGATGGCGTACATACAGTGTGCCACCGTCACTGCATGCTTCCAGTTGTGGTAGGGCACACGGCGGTAGTTCTTCCGTACAGACATGGTGAACCGGCACAGCTTCTCCAGCTCAAAGCTGCACACAGAAAGAAAGAAAACAAATGAACACAATAACAAGAATTTCTGTAAAGATCTGACACTGACATTGTCACAGTGTTCTTGCTCTACCTCGTCTTTCCACAGGAGTTATGAACCATGTAGATAAAGACAGCAGGCCAGATCTCCTCGAAGGGATTGATGTCAAAGTGGAACCTGGAGGAGGAGGAGGAGGAGGAGGAAGAGATGGGGGGACAGTTTTAGATTAGCAACACAACTGGGAGAAGAAGAGGAGATGCAGATGTGGGGACTTCAGAGGTCTGAGAGTGTTGAACTGACAACTTGACATCCAGAGACCTCATCCCTTCGTGCTCTGTGTACATCCCTGTCTTGCAGAATGTCACAATCCAAGTCTGGACTCTGTCATCGTCCTTTTCACAGAGATGTGCTCACAGGTTTCTAGCATCAGCAGAGGTAGTGAAGAAAACCCCTCGAGCTAACACGGTAGCAAATACACAAGAGGAACAGTAGAAGCACTACAGCTGGCGCACTCACGTTTCGATCTCTTTATAAATGGGTGCAGGGAGGTTGAGCTGGGTAAGGGTCTTCCACTCTTCTGATGTGCAGATGCTGTGATAAGACAGTTTTTCCATCGTCACTCTGTAAATGCATTCAGAGTGCCGGATCCTGTGGTACATCTGCAGAGACAAACGGGGAAATCGCGGAACAGGAATTAGTTTTTAAAGATGTCAAATTAGAAGCTGAACACTCCAGCGCTATAAATACCACAGAAATATTGTATATGATATGTTTGTTAAGTCCTTTCAGTGTTACTGCTGGAATTTCCAAAAGGGTCAGACAAAGTTAAGTTATTATCTATGTGTCTCCAAAAAAAAGTGTCTCCACATCTGGTTTGTATCTCTGTCCCCATCCCAGACGAGCAGCGGTAAGACAGGTCAGGTACAGGCGCCAGGCCTCACACCTTCCACCATAAATCACAATGAATCAGGAGCCGGCCAAAGTGAGTTTCCTTCGAGACGCGGAGCATAAATTACTGCTAAACATAAATCCTGTCACTGGACGGATGCAGACTGCTTGTCTTAAAATATTAACATCCCGCATTAATTTTAAAACCAACTTTGTGACGCTGCTCCTGCGTAAGTTTGTCGCACGAGCTGACGGTGAGTCAGGCCCCACAGTGAGGAAAGGCTTTTCACAAAGAGACCACACAATGCCGGCCTGGAGAGTTTGCATGATTCATGAAATGTCCGTGTTCCATGGAAGGGATAATTATCAGTGTTTATTCATATTTTGGGATGAATGCAAACGTTAAATTGTAACTGTAATATCTTTTGTCTTGGAGAAATGACATTTCGACTCTTGCAAACAGGGAAACCCACAATCTATTAACAGCTACAACAAGCCCTCCAGCTATGAGTATGAATTTAGGATGATGATGGGGCCATTACGTCAAAGTTGCAGTTATCTGAAAATAAGCCAGTCAGAATCAAGTACGTATGCCCATGAAGTAGGCCAATTATGTAATCTCCACATAGTGTACCTACATTGCAAAAGACAAAGAGCAGGCTCGCACAGGCAGATGTAAATTACGTTTTTGCTGTTGGAGAATCTCAGTTAGTCCTTTAAATATTTTTAATTCAGTGTACTCACATTTGCACAGTGTAAGGCCAGGGCACAAAAGACAGCAAACATCTTAAAGTTGTTCTCATCAGTTTTAGTGAAGGCACTTCCGCTTAACTTGTTCACCATCTGCACCACACCTATAACGGTCCCCCTGCTCACAATGGGCATGCACAGGATGTTCCGCGTGGTGTAGCCAGTTTTGAGGTCCACCTCTCTGTCGAGGAAGAAATGCACAAGATTAATTTTGTGATTTTGTGTTGTGAATTATAAGGTACTGTATGCATTATTTATACTGAAGGTCTCAGATGTAGTGTGTGTACAGTGTTTTTTAATTTTTTTTAAATCCAAAAATACACTAAAGCAGAATTGTTCGGAACTAGTCATAGCACAAAAAGTTCAACAAAAATAATGAAAAGGTAAGCAAAAGTGTTTCATCACAGAGCCAGCTCACCGGTTGAACCGTGGATCTGCATAGGCATCTGGGATATTTAAGACTTCCCCTGTCCGAGCCACTTGGCCAGCTATTCCCTTGTCTATAGAAAACCTACAGAGAAAGAGGAGGGGTGAAAGGAGTTATGCTTGCTTGCAGATTAGTGTAAATCTTCTTAATAAAACGTTATTATAAGCAACAATTGTGATACAAAATCAGTTTGAATTTCCCCCCATTTAATAAATTAATTTCCATATTCTACTTCTTACTTAACATTATAAGCTTCTTTTTTTCTGAGCTATGAGATTATATGACATCAAACAAGAGCAGAGTCAGTGTCAAAACAAAATAGAATACAAGAAAACATCTTACACACCTAATTTCTTTGGTTTTCCTAAAGACAGGTTTGCCTTCTTTCTCTTCCCCAATGTCAAACAGGTCAGAGTACAGTTCTTTGTTGTTGTGATCTACCTGGAAGAGTGCACACCTGTCTGCATTCACCAGGTTTTTTGCATATATCTGTAAAACAACACCAGGAGCAGAACCTTATTAGCAACACCGGGGGTTTGAAAGAACTGACAAAAAAATAAACATGGTAGATTACATTTAGCCCCTGTAACTGTATTAAATCAGATATATCACTGCAGTTTTGGTTGTTTTGGATAAAACAGTCAGATGGAGAGAATTACAAACACACACAGTTTAACTACAGGTCATCTCAGTTCACTTTAGTGTTTGAACCAGACACCAGAGTCACAAGGCAACTAAAAACATACAAACAAAGAGGTGGGTTTCTGTGAAAGAAACAGGAAAATCGTGTTTTGCTCTCATCCAATTCACATCTGTTTTAGATTTGTTGATTTTCATGTTGAGCCAAGTCTGTACATGTACTTATTTGATCTATGTATTACATGTAATATATTCAAATAACATTATTCAACAATAATATTCAAATAATTGATTAATGATGAATAACTATTATTTTAAAAATGGTGTTACGGATCATAATTTATACAACAATGCCAAATATTGGCAGGAAATATTAGCAGTTTTGGTATCTGTATTATTACAGCATTGCTACTCTTTTTTTAAAAACACATAATAACATAATAACAAACACTCGTAGGATGTGTAGCCTTGAAGACAATGTGAATGAACACGTACTTGCAGAAATCACACTCACCATAATATGTTCAAGTAGAGAATCTATTGCCACAATGTTATCAAAGTATGTTCTGTGCGAAAAGAAGAAATGATGCATTGAGATGTTTGACAAATGGGAAGCTCTGATGACGTTCACATTCAAGACATGAAAGCTAAGCTGCCTAAAATGTAGTCAGTTTATCTGCTGCGTGAGCACAAAGTTGTATTTAACCTTTTCCCTGCCGTATCTTAAATTTGTCAGACTAAACTGAGAACATCAGCATTTATTTCATGTTAGGGAAACTGTCCTAGGAGCTGGTCTTACTTTGACACATCTAGTAGGAAGTCATTGAGCTCAGTCTGTTTGGCGAGGCCTCTGCACACCTAGCAACAAAGAAAAAATAGGTCATGATCAGGCACACAGACATATCAAATATTTCCCACAGAACACATTCAGCATCCTGCATGCTCTGCAAACAAACCAACTTGCTATCTACACACTTGGCTGAGGGCCACCTTCAGGAGTTTGAGCAACAACAGAGTGTCTTAGCAGTGAGCAGTAACCCGGGAGTGCTGCAGAGCTGCACCGCTCACTGAGGCTCAGAGGTCCATTGTGGCCGGCGCTGCAGTGGGATGTTGCTTCTCTGAGGTGTTATGCTATCTGTTCGTATAAAAACAGCACTGGGGCATAATGACGTCCTTGAGGAGCTGTTTGTTGAATCTATGGCTTAGTTGATTGGACTGGGCCCAGTGACAACCCAGTTCCTGTACACAGTGGATTTCCCCATTAAAAACACCAGTGCAGAACCAGAACAAACAAAGTCATCCAAGAGCAAAATAAGTGGGACGGGCAGGCTTCACCTTGTTCCCAGACAAGCCTTCAGTGAAATATTACAGCACAGTGCATCCGCTGCAATGTACAATTTTAAATGCAAATCAATCCTCTGCGGAGGTTTGCTCACCTGTACTTGATGAATGGCAACTGATGCCCACGCCAAGTTAGCTGTTGCAACCTGGAAAAGAAAGTGACGCTTAGTTTAAATGAACTGCAGAAAAACAATGATGTATCACGATTAACAAAACACACACTTTCACGCATTTTCTTTGTTTAATCTATGCTTATCGTACTTCCACATTGCCACACGTTTCAACATAATTATCCGTCCCGCACATCAGGCAGTCTCATAATCACAGAAGAGCCAGTTAGCCCACAAATTCAGCATCACTCTGGGGACTCAGACTCACTCCTGCGAAACTGCTGCGTCTGTGTAGTGTGTTAGCATTTAAGCAATGCAAAATGAAACCTGCACTATCAGATTTTTTTACATGGCAAACGGTTCAGCGGTTATGTGTACCGTGAAACGGGCCACACTTAGGAACAAACCCAGAGAATTATCACGCAACTCTGCAGGTCCCCTCAACTCTACAAGGTATTTTAGTGTTTTTTTTAACTCATTATTTTGATTTTTGGCTTGCAGCTTTAATATTTTGTCTTTTTTTTTTAGCAAGAAAAAGCTTTTATAGACACACTGTAGCCAACCTGCGCAACTTAAAATACAATAAAATAGAATATACATAGTTGACCTGGAAAAACAGTGGAACACTGACAATCTAAAATGCAAAAATTTAAATACCAAAACAGAGCTAAAAAACAAACAAACAAAAAAAAAACAGTGTGCATATTTGACTGTTGGACTGCAGGTGTTTCATTCAAAGCTTCCTGAGCTGCCTCACAGTGGCTAAAACACAAAATTATGCAGGTTTTAAAGACAATCAAATAAAATGTAGAAAAAAAAACAACAGTCAGTTACACCTACTGCATTGTGGTTTCAAATACCGCATTGCCTAGTTTAACCAAAAATACTGAGATATACAAGTTATTTTTTAAAAAAAATCTAAGAATCATGTACATTTAAATGTGCTTTCAACAGTTTGTTTCAAAAAAAATTAAAATGCTTTAAATTTGATTCTAGGAACTGTATGTTCAGTAACTTTCTAGCTCACAGCACTGGAATTTACACAACGTATTTTAAAACGTAGTAGAGTCCTTGGAGACACCGCAATGAAGCTTTTTCCACAATAAACTGACCCCCACAAAGCTAACAGAGATCTTAAACAGATCCAGATTAAGGGTAATACCAGGCTAACTGTAGTTCTGTGAGCCTTGCTCCAGCCTCCCACTCTTGGTGTGTTTTGTCTGGGTCAGACTGACCTCCTGGTGGCTGAGGTTGAAGGGCTCCTTGCCCCAGTGCCGTTGCAGCTCCAGGATGGCAATGAGGTCCCCGATGGCAGTGAGGATGGGGAGGCACAGGACAGAGTGAACATGGATCCCTGAGTCCTGCCCTGTGCCGTCGGGAAATCGCTCGTCCTGCAACACGGAGACCAGCGAAGGAAGTTATTGGGGTGAAGTGCATGGGACTTCGAACAAAGCTGGCGCATTAACGGATGAAGATGACAAAGACATTCCTGTTTCTGACTCGGTTCCCATGTTTGCCACTATGCACCATTTATATCTTGACTGTTTACTTTCATGTGCCTCATGTGCTTCAGGATTTCACTACTGAAGATGCATCTTGGTCAAAAGTCGTGTGATTCATTTTGCCTTTTGGAGACACGCAAGAGCACCTTTGATTGTATTTTGTTGAATTTGAAAGCATCCCCGGCTTAAAATATCTTCTGTATAAAGTGTGAATGAATACACCGGCCTCTTGTTGCAAAAGCCCCTGACTGTGTACTGTGATTAAACAGGCAGCTCCCCCATGATATCAACACGCTTTTCGCTCAGTGGGGCTAAGTACATCAATACTGGTATTGATGAAATAAGATGGTTTAATTAAATATATAGAGAGAGCATGAAGAGATCTGTGACATTACAGCAATGCAGTGAAATGTTTGATTACTGTAAAGGATAAAAAAACCTGCTCTGGTTGCAAGAAAACTGCCATACCCCTATGATGTCCTCCACTAGCAGTGTTTTGCGAGTCTTGGCAACATGAGCGGCAATGGTTGTCCCAAATGCGATGGGGCCAGAGGGGATGAGGCTTGGAGGGCCATCCTTAGCCCCCGTTGGAGTGAATAAACATAAACTCTGTGGAGTAGCATAGATGAGAACAGAAGGTGAAACACAGTCATACATACTCAAATGTATTAGTGGATAAAATGTATTCGGAAAATGTCCTCTGCACTCACATTGTTGCATTCTCCCAAGAAGTAAAGTGCAAATCCATCAGCTTTTGTTGCTGTAGACAAAAGAGACACATGGATCACATATGTGCAGCGCAGGTAACAACTGACATACGCTGTAAGCGCATATCTGTGACACACTGCATGCTCTCATACAGGTAAAAGTGTGACAAGGAGACAATAGTCCGGTTACACTCTAATAAAAATCTATTAACAATGTCCTACATAACAGGAAGGGTACTTTGACCGAGGGCTTTGACTGTCATCCAGTTCATCTCATTCCCAGTCCTCCCTTCCAGTCCCATTTCACACTGATATATAGGTCATGTTATTGTACAATGTGACAACAGAGAAGCCGGTGGAGCAGTCAATACATAAATGATCAAGAAGGTAATGACTGGTGGGGTTTTGGGGTGAACTCATCCTTTTTTTTTTCAGTTCACAGAAAATAATTGAATACATTCATAAAATGCAGAATATTTGTCAAGGATAGAAGGATAAAGAGCTTATTTCCATCTTTTAATGCACCCCGATGGAGTCACATGAGACGCACACATGATTTTGTTTTGCTAAGCCAAATGAGGAACTGTGACCAGTCCCTTGCAAATAATTCTTTTCGAGCTTGTTTTATTTTTTTCCCCGTGGATCAGCATGTGGGTGGCGTTGACTGCAGCAGGCAAGGTGATGTCAGAAAAGTATGCTAAATTTGACTTTAAACTGTCAAAACTTCCTGCTATTTCTGAGAACATCCACCACAGAAAATCCCTCTCCTCCTTTTTTTAAAGTTGCTGCAGTGGTATTCAGAGTATTTGACCCGAAGTGCCTCCAGAGATGTTTGTGCAAACATTTGTCATAATCAAGCAGGATTTTTATTTTTTTTTAAACCTAAGAATATCTCAGTGTCACTTTGAGTTATTGAAAGGATCAATGATGGCTGGATGATTTCTATTCTTTACCTGTTTTGATGATGTTGCACAACTCATAGAGCAGGAGTTTGTTGTCTCCTCCAGTGTCCAGGCGCTGCTCCATGTAGCTGTTGAGTTCGTACACCACACCCTGCATATTTGTGTCCTGGTACTGCTGGACACAAGACACACAGAAATTGCAACTCTACATTCTCGCATAAACACTGAGATTGAATTTCAAAATTCAGCAAAGTGCTACGACAGAGAAAAAAACCTGACAACAACCTGCAGTCTGTGCTGCATCCGGTATGAAGTTACTGCAGCAGGCAGCAAATAGCGAGATGTTCCCTTTTTTTTTTTTTGAATGAAAGCGGCTTACCTTCTTGCCATTCACAAAGACAAAGCCATTCATCGTAACATTACCTTCCCACCACCCCACCCTTACACTCCCCTTCACTGCTGTTTTCTCGCTCAGGGATCCCCCTGCAGTCCCAAGAGGAGGCCACTGGAGCCCCACAGTTCTGATTAGAGCCCTGGCAAGCTCTGCTGCTCAGCCTCGGCTTAAAAGTGTGGTTACATAAGAGGCAGACCTCCTGCCTTGTACGGGGCTAGAGAGCCGTCTATTTCTGCGCCTGCAGAGAGGGTGAGGACAGGACAGCAGGGAGAGTGGCGCACTAGAAAGCTTCCCCCACGGGACGCCTTCTATCCTCCCACATCCTGTTTGCACAGACGTATGGATGACGCACTGAGGGGTCAAGTGGACCTCGTTTTCTTTTTTCCTGTGTGTGTGTTTGAGTGTTTGCGTCTTCCACTCAGCCTCAGGGCTCTGCTGTGGGCACTGACACCCGGCCTCCTAATGGTGTGAATGACAAAGGTGTGAACATATGTGTAGCAAGGGAGATGTACTCTTTCCAGGATATGTTCTGCGTAATGTGACACAAATGAGTTCATAACGCAGCAACACATTCATGCTGTTTCTAATTACAGTCATTTAAAAAATAAATAAAAAATTCAATAGAAATCAATATGATAAAGTCACAGAAAGGCACTGCTCCTAAAAGTAAGTGCAAGCACACACAAGACTGTTGTCAGAGTGTGTTGTTGTGTAATTTGCATCTTAAAGTACTGAAGGACAGAAATGAGTTCTGTGCTGAACATGAATTAGTTCAGCCATAGTGTGGAATCCTGAGAATGAACTCAAACAGTCACAAAGGTTAGTTTTTTGGGGGGGAATTAGAGTGAAACTAATCACGCAGTAAAATATCTACATTGTGTGAAAGATTAACGTGAACATGTCACAAAAACACAAATAAAATGAAACAAAAACCTACCCTGCTGACTTCTTTAGCTGATGTGTCATCTGTAAAGAGAAAAGTCACAATGTTAAAAAAAAAAAACCCAACCTGAATCAAAGTTAGTCTGTTTTAGATGATGAGACATGAAGACTTAAGCTGTGGTTAAAATAACTTTTTGCTGCATCACACCAGTTTTTAATAAGATGTCATTTTTGAAAACATCCTACAATAATTGCATCTTTGCCGTATTCACCAGCTCAGTTTTGCTACCAGCTTTTTCGGAGTCACTTTGCAGACTTGAGGACTCTTCTACTGGTGCTGCTGCTATATTGTTTTTTTTTCATTTATTTACCATTAATTATCACTTGCGTCCACAGTGGGAGTTGCTTGGCTAAACTTACATACTGTTGTGAAAAGGATTTGATATAAGCTCAGTTTGTGTTAATGAACTGTGGAGCGATTCTTACAGCTCGCTGCCAATGAGCCACTTCACAATACAAAACACTTAATGAAATGCTTAAATGTTAGATGTCAAGTCTGAGTAACTATGCAAATGTGAAGGCAGTAGGAATTGGAAAGCTGAAAAGCAACAGGCTGAGCGACACAAAAATACGTCCTGTCTGTTTGGACGCTGGATGGACACTCTGCAGTGGATTCACATGTTGATGGATTATGACTAGCCAACACTGCAAGCAGCAAATAGGCAAAACCATACACTGTGCTCACAACAGCAGTCACCAGATGAACAAATGTTAAAAAAAAAAACATGCACTATATAGAGTATTACCACACATTATGTATACATTTGGGATGAATATTTCATGTATTTCATGCACTTGGACCTTTGCTTAAATTGTGTTGCTTTAAAAACAGAATTAGGAGCAGTACTCATTTAACTTGACAAGTGCAAAAATTTGTGGCCTCAAGTGCAAATTCCTGGTGTGATTTCAGGCTGCTGGAGAGACAGCAGACATATGACTGTTGTCTTTGGATGTAGATACTAAAGTATGTGATATTAATGAAAGCTTCAGCCAATCATAACACTTTCTGGACTTATAGTCTGGGAGCGCTACTTGGGATGAAAATAAAACCATTCACACAGCTAGAGCGGTTCCTCGTCACACGTGGGGCCGACGGCGCACAAGAACAGCGACTGTTTAGATGCCTTTGATAATTTTTCATGTGATCAAACCATGCAAGAAGCTGGGCAGATTTTCGAAACATCTACTGAAGTGCTGAGCTGGTCCTCCTTTGATACAAACCTCTTTGAACATGTGAAGAAAGAAATTACAGCCAGCTACATTGTTTGTTGTTTTAAACATTCCTCCAGTATGCTATGAGTTTCCTAACTTAGCCATGAGACCTATTTTAGAGTGAACCCCTGGCCGGGCATGACGTCAATCAGAGGACGGAGAGCTGTACTTGAAAAGGACTTCAAACCCCTTTGAAAAAAGGAAAAATACACAATTTTTTTAGACAGAACCTTTTTTTATATGACTTGTTGAGGCCTAGAACATTCGGACTCAAATCCCTTTGAGGGGCAAATCTGACAATATCATCAGTAAGAAAGGGCCCTGCATTTGGTAGAGCCGTCCAACACCACCCACTTTTGCACATAATATACAAATATGTTTTTGCACAACAATATACTAGAAATCCAATAATCACTGTAGAATATTGCAAAACAAAAAAAGAAGACAACCTTATTGTACCCTTATTTCTATCCATGAACTGTCTGTAGCAGGAGACACAGTGGAAACAGATGGCAGACAAACAGAGTAAAAAACAGTTGCTGTATTTAGCTAACTTTAACTGCAGGACAGTTTTTATTTGCTTATGTATGGTGCATCAATTTGAAATGAATGCAGCTTGATGTAATGTACTATAGGATGTGGACATTAGTATGTACAGTATATACAATGCAAAACGATATGCGGGTTCTGCGAAAGCTGTTTGAGAAAGAGAGCTGTGTAAATAATTCCACTATAAAGATGAAAAGCAATGCAAAAACATGCCAGGAAATGTAATACCCGCTGCTTATTTGGATCCAGATTATTTAATGTAAACTATGTAACCATTGCCTCAGTGTCTGTGGTGTTTGATGGCAAAAGCAACATGTGAAGATGCCTGGATAACTTCAAGCTATCAGCAGCAGGACTTTTCTTCCTCCCTGACCTGAACTCTTGGCTCTCGGGCCTTCCTCACCAACTTGGCTGTCGTAGGAAAAGTGTCCCACCTCTCTCCTCACCCACGAGACGAAGGTTCGCTGGAGGGAGGCAGGGTGGAGTCAGGACTGACACTTTGGAGCCAAATGTAAGCAGACTAAGACATAAAGACTCAGGTGATTTAGCTGCAAAACCTGCAAAAACTGCAAAAATACAGTATTTTATTACTGTAGTGTTACCTACAATGAATGATATTAAAAGTAAGATCTTAGTCCTTTGTTTTATTTAATAACAAGGTGCAAAACATGTTGACTTTTCATTTTCTGTAAAGTGTTGCAGTGCCAATGAATCCAGCAATGCTGATACACACAGTAGCAACAGATCTATCAATAAAATCTTGTGGTAACTGCATTATTTTATCTTGTTTTGTTTTTTTGAAAAACTAACTTAAATCTGTTCCCTAAGTGCTTCAACATATAAACACATGGTATTCCCTCTGACATGGATTGAGGGTCCCCTAATCTTCATTGTCCCTCCTGCAGGAAAAGTCACCAGGCTATGTTTGCGGTGTAGCAGGTCAAATTACAAACTGACAGACAATCTCTGCCAGCATCTCCCGTGCAGTAGTCCCAGTGGAGCCACCGAGAGAGCACTCTGTCCACACAAAACAAAAGACAGAAATGTCTTAAAAGCCAAGAAGTAACCGGTAGGAGTTGTACTTGCAGGGTACAGACTATAGGTCAAATGCAGATCCTTTCTGTACTCCTGTAACTATAGAGATACGAAAGCAGGTGCCCTTTAAATCTGATCTGTTGTGTTGAACCAGTTGCCTGGTTGGACCAGTTCCAGTAGTTTCTTTAAAGCATGCATGCAGGGTCATGCACGCATTCAGCAGGTGCAGGCCCAGGTGCAGGCTCTCAAATGCCTGTTTTTCCTGGATACCAGAAAAGTAGCTTGAATATACTCCAATGCATGTTTGGCTATGCTGTTGTTTGTTGTTAGTGAAAAGTGGGTGAAAAATGTGTTTCTTTTTTTTGTAAGGCCAGCACCAAAATACAAAAAAATGCCTGTCCTGTTTCGCAACAATAACATCTCTGTTTCATCAGATATGTGTCATGGGACTAACCTTAATGATTCAGCTATCCCTGGAGCTGAGAAGGAAGGTATGCTTCAGGTGCTTTTACAAGTTTGTGTGCTTTATCACCATATGATGTGGTCACCCACCAACACAGGGACAGACACCAGCAGTCTGTTGATACCATCCCACATATTCGGGGACCTGCATTGCTTTTAGTAAACACAGGAAGAGAGCGCTGACATGTTCTTCGAAAATATACTGCCAGCTCACTCGGGAGGGATCTCTACATACACAATTGTTTAGTAACTCCCGTAGAGACTGAACTGACTTCTTCTAATAAGTTTATCACGCGTTTCCAACTTTTTCCAACCTCATTGAAAAGATATCCCTGCACTGTGCTGCACTTTATAGGATAAACAGTTGTAATTTAACATGTATTCGTTTGGGATTCATGCTACTTTGGTTTGGAAACCAACGGTTAGTCAACATGTTTTATTGTATTGTATGTTCTGATATAGATGCAAGGTGGTGCAGTTGGTTAGCACTGTTGCCTCGCAGCAAGAAGGTCGCCAGTTCGCCCCCACCGGGATCTTTCTGCGTGGAGTTTGCATGTTCTCCCCGTGCAGCGTGGGTTCTCTGTGGGTTCTCTGTCTTCCTCCCACAAGGTCCAAAAACATGTTGAGGTTAATTGGTGATTCTAAATTGTCCGTAGGTTTGAATGTGAGTGTGCTTGTTTGTCTGTCTGTGTGTGTGTGTGTTTGATTGGCTGGCTGCCTGTTTGGTTTCCTTCTCCGTCGGTTGGGTTGGATTGGCTCCCCCCGCGGGCGTCGTTAGTGTTGATTGGTGTGTGTATAGTTGATGGATGGATGGATGGTTGTTCTGATTCAGTAAATCCTTTATAAAAGTGTAAAGAACGATCACTTTAGTGCTTACAGAATGAGAAAGCTGCAGTCATTGTTGCAATTTGACGCTTTGTGCACACTATTATGTTTTATTGTATTTCACAGAAAGCGGTGCTGAGGTGTGTTAGGTTCTCACTGCTCACCAATTTAGGTTAAACGTTTGAGATCACGCAAACGCTCTCCTGAGCCATGATCTAAACTTTTACTCTTGGTCCAACATCGCGATAACAGCAAGATCGTAAAAGCCTTTTCATACCTCACACATACAATTTCGTATTGATTTCATGGTGTAAAGTTTCCACATCAAAGCAGGACATTTTGCTGGCAGATGGAAAGACCTCCATTGACTATTTCAAACTACTGTATGGTTTCCAGAAAAAAAAAAAGAAAAAAATCTGCTAAAAAAAAAAAAAAGAGGGCTTGTTAGTTAATCTTTTGAACATATTGACAATCTGACATCTCTTATCCAATTGCTTGATTTACATCAGCTATAGATGTTGTTTTTCCTGCAGAGATTTGGCCATTAGAGAAAAGCTGCAAAATCTGAGCGCAGCATAGCCTACATAGATTGTAGGTCTATTCATCTGGGTTGTTGGTCTACTGGTAATTTAATTAAAAGATTAGATGAAAACACCCGCTGTCAAATGTTGCTCGTGACTGAGTTTGTTGTTTGTTATTATTGTTTACTGTGGTGTGAAGCACTTATCTGCTGTTTCTAAAGCTGCTTTCAGTGTGAAATGAAATATTCAAGCGTTTGCAATTTCAGAATCTTTTAATCTGCTCAAGTGTAAAAAATGTATAGATAGACAGATAGACTGTAGCTTTAAATTTGTGTCAACACACAAAGCCTGTAGTTGACATATAAGTGCAAAGGTCTGTGTTGATAAATGATTCGAAGAAAGCATCCAGAAGATATGAGC